TTTCATTCAGATCTGATATTTGAAATTCTTAAATATCTACGACCCCAAAACAATTTGGATACCAAGGTTACACAAGGTTTATTATTTCTTATACAACTAAAAGCAACAAGTAAAAATTAATTAAAACTAATTGCTGCGTATCAACCTCACTTATATTTTTCCCGTAATGCAGTATATTTCCAAATTCGACGTGGTGTTGGTTAGTATCATTTCATACCTAACCTTAACAGGCTCTGAACTTTCTAGAAAAACTATGATCGAATCCTTACTTGGACAGTTGGATTCCAATTGTCACTTAATTCTAGTCCATCACAACACAATCCAATCTGTTGATCTACTTGCTTCCTATTCTCAAACCAAAAAAGGAATTTACATCTATCACCTCCCACTAATTGACCCCACCAATTGGTTGTTTCGTCCCAGGTACAAGTCACCTAGCAATTTTAGCGGCATCTTTGCCAAATCACAGAAAGCCCAGTTCCCCTGCTTCATCGGTATCATTCTTATGCTTAAATCTGACCTCAAAACGAACTGATCGCAAGTTTATTCTTTTGACCGAGCATCAAACAGTAATACTTCACCAACTTATCTACGCAAAGTATCCCAGTATCGAGCACACTCTCGAACAATCTACTTCACATATCTCGCTCCTTATTCGTGTCCAGTTCAATTTTCTTCGCATAGTTGGTGGATATTCTCGAGAGAATCCTATATTTACGTACGTATTGAATTTAGTACTCTTAGATGGGCAACAAGAACAGTGGTACAAGGCATCTTCTTACCATATTTCACGGCAAGACATTACGCCCATACTGCGTAATCATTCCCACTTTTACTCAGTGCTAGAGCCTCCGACAGATCTTTACTTAAAGAGCGAAAGATTATCATTGCTAAACTTGGCGGGATATTATAGCCGTAAAGAGGCATGTGAAGCTTACGCGAAAGGTCCGTTTCACTTAATAAGAGAGCAGCGATACCGCCCTCGTGTTATTCAGTCTAATTTGCATAGGAAATTTTACTTATGGGAAAGCACGCGATGACAACATACAACCCAGCCAGTTTCGGCAAATGAGGAGCAAAGAGAAATCAACTCATGAAGTACAGATTTTTATGGACGTTCACAGTGATTTGAGATCATATTCACGATCAATCCTTTTCACCACTATGAACCAAGGATTTTCATTCATGACATGCTATTCGAGACAGGAGTTGTCGTTTAAAATATTCCTTCAACCGTTTAAAATTGAAGTGTGGATCGCCCTGATGCTCACCATGGTCAGCATTGGTGGTTTTTTGGTCGTTAGTTTGACAAGAAAACTGCAATGGGGATTTCTTGAAGCTATATCACTCGCTCAGTTTGCCGTGATATCCATAGCACTGGAAAGACCGACTTATCCAGGGAAGAAATTAATGAGGATGACAGTATTTAAGATCCTATTAGGGGTTTGGTTGATGCTCGCCCCTATAATGACATATGGTTATCTCGGTATAAGCATTAATTCAATATCCTCACAGTTAGAATCAATCTCTGTCACATGATTTGACCAGCTGGCCAAACCGGGGTGCGATTGGGACGAAACTAAATGCTGTAAAAATAGAATGAGAGGACTCAATGCATATTTGTCAAAGTTTATGGGATATCTTCTTGCGTTCAATTTTAATTATTATTTCGACGAAAAATTAAAATACTTATTTAACAATTCGTATCTAACTATGGAGGCCTTACGAAATATATCTATTCGGAAATTCGACATAAACCAAGATTTTGTACTACTTCCGTATTCCTTGGAAATCAACGTATTGGACAAATCGAGTCTGGCAGATAACATCTTTACCTCAGTATTATACGACAAATTATACTCGATAATAGAAGTAAAATCGGAAGATAAACTAATTTCTCCGGATGCGGTGGAAGTTCTGAAATTAATAGATTTGGTTGATCCATGGCACATGCCATACCCATATCTTGAAAATTCGACGGACACAATATTGATTAGCAACCAGTGGGATCTTGAGCATGCTATCGTCCAATGTGGTCGAACGGTGCTTGTCTTAGAAGAAAGCGAACTAAACAAAGAACTTCGTTACTTTGAGAAGCACTACCCGTGGCTGAAATTTTTAAAATCGGAGCGTTCTATCTTGAAGGGAGAATCAGGATGGAGGTTCGTTACCAAAGGGATATCTGTGACGCCGCAGATATTTGGAAAATTGTATGTCGCAGGGATTATCCAGCTTCTGGAGAACTGGCCCCATATGGCGACCCCGGGAAGAATAAATATTACGACAAAGGTAAAAACTCTTGTGGAGAATAGGTCGACAGAGCCCGTAAGGAGAATTTCATTGGGTGGGAATATTATATATACTTAACATCTTTATTAATATCTATTACGGAAATTTTAGCCGTAGAAATTAAGATTTATAAGAGGGTATGGCCTGGCCTACTTTCTCTTCGAAGGCAGTTAATGCGTAAAAGGAAATTGTTGGCCAGTGGCTTAGACAAGTACAGTGCTTGTAGAATTAAAAAAAATTAAGCCGATTCATGCTCTTTATCGTCTACAATATGTTATGTCCTACAAGTAAGAAGTGGACGCCATATAATTACAAAATTCAAACTTTAACAATATTTTTATTCTCAACCTAAACATGTACAAGCAGACTTTCCACACCATTCTAGGTAGTTAGGCGAATAAAGTGTGTATTTATTATACAACTAATTTCTGAAATTGATATTGAAATTATTAAAAAAGGCAATGCTGCACACAGAATTAAAAAAAATCCCTTAACAATTTTGCGGTGTATCATAATTCTAGGTCGAGGGTACTGCTTCAATCATCCCTTTTCCATCAGCGTTAGGTTGACCTACATAGGTCATGTAGGTCGTAAGTCATACAAAGAATTTGCCCACAAGATGAATATATTAGAGTTAGGATAGGCTTGGTGTATATTTACACATTTTGCCTTTTAACACTGCACAGGATGAGGTAATAAACAAAATAACACAGATAATGATTTCTCAGTAATAAATTTGGTAGAAATATTTCACCAGGTAGTAAAAAATTTTTACTAAAAATTCGTTACCATGATCGTAAAACTTTATTATCAAGCCATTACCACACGATACAACTTATCATTTCCACTTTGGTAGAGTCATATACCTGTGCTTTTCGGTAATGTTTATTACCAGATTATTTACTGTCTATTGACAAAATTTGCTGATCTTGGCACGGTGACTGCGTGTGGTAATGTTCGTCAAGTATTTACTTAATCGTCATAAATCAACCTTACAAGGGAACATGCCGAGGTGTCCAACGAGTTAGAGGTTGACACCCATAACAAAATGAGCACAATATATGGCTTGCCGAACAGAATGAAAAAATTTCCCTGTAAAATTCACTTTTCGCCAAGTTGTGACGATATTTGTGACGAACGTATGACCATCGGGGCGCCAGTGGGAGACGTCGGCTACTGAACGATCAGGTAGAAGTCTAACACATGTTGTCTTCAGAAATTTCAAATTCTTTCAAACTATGAAAAAATTCTGAAATTTTGAATAAATTTTGAAACAAATTTTGGAAAATGTTGCGAATTTTGACAAAATTTTGAAAGTTTCAAAAAAAGTGAAAATTTTTTAAAAAAGTGGAAAATTTTGAAAAACTATGTGAAAGTTTGAAAGAATTTGAAATCTCTGAAGACACATGTGTTCGACTTGATCGTTCAGCGGCCGGCCTCTCCAGCTGGCGACCCGATGGTCATGCGCTCGTCACAAATATCGTCACAACTTGACGAAAAGTGAATTTTACACGGAAATTCTTGCAGTTTGTTCGACAAGCCATATATTGTGGTCATTTTGTTATAGGTGTCGGCCAGAGGTCAACGCCGCCGGTTGCACGCCGCCAGACGCCGGTAGTAGTTCATGCGCTTCTGCCGCCGATAAATCTTATTTCGTATTCCTACAACATTGTGGCGCCGCGCTGCGCCGCCACGCAGCCGAAAAATCTTCTAAAATTAGCGTCGCCCCCTCCGACAAATACGTCGGCGTTGACTTTTGGTGTCGGCCCTTAACTCGTTGGACACCTCGGTATGTTCCCGTGTTAGACCGAGACACATAAACTGAAAGGTAAGCCAGATAAACCTATCCCGTAAGGCAGAGGTCGACGCCGCCGATCTCACGCCGCCGCGCCGCCATACGCAGATGCATTTTACGCGCCGCCGCCGCCGAAAAATTTGATTTCCTATTCCTTTAACATTGCGACGCCGCGCCGCGCCGCCGACGCCGCCGAAAAATTACGAAAAACTGGCGCCGCCGCCGCCGAAAATTTGTCGGCGTCGACCTCTGCCGTAAGGATATGATCCCCTTGCTTAAGTATCATAATCTCGTACTATCTAAATATGTGCATACCTACGCAAATCTGGGATATACATATGTAGATAAATACATAAATACATACCTATGTGCCTCTCATGTATACAAAATAAATCCTTTCGTATTTTGTGTCCATGTCATGTGCAAAATTACGGGAAAGGTTGTTGCGAATTATATAAGTAATCAATCACTCCAGATGACATGACTCTCAACTCGTTAACGTCACTGATGAGACGTATATATTTACATTAGTATGTGTTTGTGAACGAATCCGAGTGACTTATTGGAAAATATTGATGTATATACCATCGAGTAGCAATAAGGCAAACCGAAATTTTGAAAGACAAAAAATTGATTTTGTTAAGATTTGCACAGTTTGTAGAGGTGATTTTTGTGAGTGTAACAATATCATTGGATCCTTGGACCCCCCCCAACTCCTTCCATCTTGCGTTACGTAATTTATGGACGCACCCTAAGCCCATTTATATCATAGTATGCACACATAGATACTTCGATAATTCCGTGAAATGGAACTCATTAATCTAACTAATCCAAATGATCCTGGGTTAGATAAAGTATATTTGAACATTTATTTAAACAGATTTACGCCATAAATTATTTTCAGTCGGATCCCGTAACTTCAACGAGGTATTTCACACGCAAAAATATAAACGTCTCGTTAAAACGTGAATAAAATTGTACGCCTGTTCGTAGGGTTGTGCAGCAATGAAAAAAATTGGCGTACCCAATTTCCTCTCCAAAATTGGCGTGATAGTTACCATTCTCTTTATTGTAATACAAGGTATGGAAAATTACAATAATGCCAAAAATTATGTATATATATGTATTAACAAATGCATACACAAACAAGTAGAATTGTCACTTTATTCGAATATTTTAGCCCATTAGCGACAGACGTAGGGTGGAACATGGAAACCACTGGAAATGGGCACATTTAGATTTATGGGAAGGGGTAATTCGAATAATCCGAGCTGGGGTTGTGGAAAACGTTGGTTTTCCAGCGTTTTTGTAGATTATGGGGAGGATTGAAATATAATTGCCAAAATTACATGTTACCCTTAAATACATACAATAAATACATACAAATTTGAGCGAGACCCCTCGCAAAAATTAGCTGAGAAATTCCAAAATGCGGGGATGCTTATATTTTGTGGTGAACAAAATAAAATGGGTCCCATGGCAATCCGAGTTGTACACGTAAAAGACTTGCATTGTGAGTCAGGCCGAAGTGCAATGAATTTCGTTTCAAGCTGCCCCAAAATCTTCCAAAAACCCCGAAAAAAACAAGAAAACCCCCAAAAACTCAGTGTGGCGTACGGTCATTGCCTACATTAGTGTAAGAAGTAAAGCCCATACATCTGTACATGCATACCCATACCACAGAGGTCAGCGCCTACAAATTTGGCGACAGCGCAAAGTTTGAATGACTCTTCGGCGCCCCAATCTTGTAGGAATAGGAAATCAGATTTATCGGCGCGTAAAATGCTACCGGCGTCTGGTGGTACGGCGACGTTGACCTCCGAAGGGTCATAAAGAAGGGCCAGAAAAATCTTAGACTATTTACAAGCTGTATAGCCTCTCCTAATAATAATGGCAGAGTCATAAATAAAAGATTGTCTTATTACTTGTGCTGTTAGGCTCGCCCATAAATACTTATAAGCTTAAACACCTCGGAGAAATCTCTAGTTATGGCCGAGGCATACAAATTAAAGGAATTTTTCACGAATTGCTTATGAAAAGATGCTCTAATTTTAATTCCTCGACCATAGAAGCATACGTATTTATAAGCATAGTGACATCATTTCAGTCTGAACTTGAATTGACTAAATTACGCATTACATCATGTAATTTACATATATTTAGATTCGCTTCAACAAGACCCAGGCCAAATTGCGGAGGGTGGCTTCAAAAATTTTATGTCCGACGTTATCTCAAATTTTCCGGAATGGATCAGGGAAAATAGGTTGGATCCTACTCCCCCGATAACTCAGGTGTTCTCAGTCGATATTGATACAGGACCCATCTCCCTGAGAGGAAGCATTTAGTAATTGAATTACCTACTTATATCCATAACAAGCCACTTGTTCAACTTGGTTTTATCTAACTTCACTTAATCCCCATTTCAGCAACGTCTCAGTTATTGGTTTGTCAAGCATTGATAATTACACGTTTGAGCCTTATTACACATCATATGCGACTCTTCGGATCGGAATGCGTGTATATTTGCGACATGGTGGAATTCAAGGTGGGCCACCTATTTAACAAGAATATGCATGGTGTTGATTTAAGTAAATCGTCCCGCTGGATTCTTGCGAACCAGACAAAAAATTATGAAAATTTGGACGAATAGCAAAAGAAAACGGATGTGTAGGTAATGGCATAATTACTATAAATTGCTGCAAGACTAATTAACCCTGAACCTCGGATACACCAAATTGACCTCCAAGTTTTCAAATTTCGGTAGGAAAAAGCGGGACGAATTAAATCAGCACTTATTTTGCACGGATTTAAAAATAGGTTTAAATAGATTTAATAAATAAATATTTACAGATAATTAAATCACCACCCTTTAGTTTGTTTCCCGAAGTGTATAGTAGATTGCCACATATTACGGGCATATCTAGAAAATTGTTATTATTTTATTATTATTTTTTGTTATTATATGTACTTTATTTTCGAAAAGTCTCGACCATATTGGCATTAGATAGGTATGTACTTCGTGCGGTGTATAACCACTATCTATTCTAAGGAGGAGAGTTTGTATATTATCAACCCAGGATTTCGCTATTGGATATGTTGTAGCGTCCCAGGAAGGAACGAGAACCCCCAAGTGGTTTGATGCCATGGCCACATTTGCGCCCGACACACCAACTCAATTTGGGTGCCCCCAAAACATTTTCTAGGTTTTACCAAGTGCCATGGCCAAAGATAGTTTGAGATGGGGAAAGCTAAACCCTATTTAGGGAAGTGCGCCTAGCGGATGAGACTGGTCGAAAAATGCCGTGTGGCTCCGCACCCGAATTTAAAAATAAAATTTTTTGTTGAAGTTTTAGAAAAACTTATGTTGACTTAAAAAATCATGATGTATTACTTTAAATAATGCCCGCAAATTTTTTAGGTCGAATTTAAAGCGGACACTTTACATAAGTTTTTTCAAAAAATATGCACGAAACTAAACTCATGTGGATGACCAGAATAGATTTTAGCTGAATTTTCAAATGGCCGGTTTTCTATTCAGTCAAGGGTCAGGTAGTCTGATATGGCTTCAAATTAAAAGTGACAAGCAAGTTTCCCAAAAAATTAAGGGATTTGTCAGAAAAGAAATGACCCTGAATTCTTCACTATAAGTGACCCCAGTGACCAAAATACGTACGCGAAAAACTGGATCAAATGAATTTTGGAATCCATGGTCATTGGTCATCATCTTCTGCAGAAATTTATTTTTTGGCTGAACGTAACTCGCTGTCAATAAGTCAAAATTCCTAAAAATTGCCAAAAAGTTAAAAAATTTTGATTTTATTGCCGAGAGGAAATTGCCCCAAACTTTCCACGATGTGGTCACATTGAAAAAGTAGGGACAGATTTTGAAAGCTAAAATTCTACTGAATCAGAAACACCGAATGGATGGACAGGATTCAACAGAATGTGGTAGCAAACTCGGTCCAAGCGGGTGAGAAAAATTTTTTGGGAGTTTTCAGGAAGAAAGTGGTTGTGGAAGCCACACACGAAACCTAGCCAACTATGGTTTAGGATGAATGTAGGGTAGGGTCACTACTTTATCATCGTAAATTTTTAGTAAACCCAGTCTACTATATTTAGAGATATTCACATTTTTATGCCAGTCTCATCGTCTAGGCGCACTTCCCTATATACCAATTACATATTTCTACTGGGGGTTTATTGCATAACTAAAAAAAATGTCGATCGTATAGTTGCTCTGAAGAAACCTTACACTAAAGTTCAATGCGTTAAGTTTAAATTTATTTTAACCAGCCGTTAAATATCTGTTACTTTAACTATAGCTAGTTTTGAGTTATTTTAATTTCTATATATATATGCTCTATTTTAATGCTTATGTTAATAATAGTTTATTTTAATATCGCTCACCTACAGGAAATTACAATGTAACTGGACAAGCCGTTGAGACGTTCCCGCTGAATGTAACGAGTACGTTTAAGGTGGTTTCAGACAACCTTAAAATCAATATTTTCATCCGCTTTACACAAACGAGTGGAAGGATTATTTTACTAAACTTATCAACAGTCTCGACAAGCACGTATAACGATTTCGAATTTGAGAAAATTTCCCTATCAGCGAAGTTTGACAACCTGTTTGACCTTTCACCCACGATAACACCCGAATATGAAAAATACGTAACCGACCATCTTGCCACGATACTGGCAGAGAAGATAACCGTATTTTTCGATCCCTTATTATGCAGGGTATGCACGTAAAGTTCTCGGTGAGTAAGTTTTTTGTCGGAAATTTTACGAATGTATTTCGGTCTGAAAGAATCGCAAAGTCCGTACACCTAGCTAATTAAGTACCTCACAATGACACAATTTTTCAAGCTATACCGTGATTTTTCTAACGAGTTATCTATTGATAAGCTGGAAATGTTTGCCTGCAACGGAAGTGAAAGTAATTTTTCGTGACGGAAGTAAAAATGGAGAAAGTTTCACTTCCCTCGTCATTCCCTCGCATTTCTAGCTAATTTTATAGCAAAAAGTGATTCCCTGGAATTATGAACAATCCGACTTAATTTTCACGAAATCAAATAAGCTCTCGCCCGGCGGGAGACAGCTTACACGTTAGTATCAAATAACATGTAAAGTCAAAAATTAGGAATCATACATATATATGACACTTATGTACCTTCCCTTCGAAGGCACACTTCAAACATTTGCGGTACAGTTTACGCGTCCGGTTCGGTTTTCACAATCTGGAGGAAAAGATGACAGGAAATTAAACATCGCCACAAATATTTTTCTTCAAAGCGGTCATTCTAACGAAAGATAAGTGCCATGGTTCCAAATTATTGGCTCGATTGTTTGACATGACTTGTTAGAAATGCTCGGTATACATAGCTTAATAACGGCTAGTTTCTCAGTTGCGTTATGTTTCAAGCTGGGGTGTCCGATTTGATTTAGATTAACTGCAATTTTAGACATTTGTTTGTGGCCATGATCCTAATAATCATTTTTACTCGAAGAGTAAATGACCATCTCTATGTGTCCATGCGCATGCTTTGTGATAGTAACAGATATGTGTTTAACATTATATCCTGCAAGGGACATTCACGACCTGGGTACCTACAATGTTTCTTATATGAGTAACCAGGAAATAAGAATGGATCCTTCATCCGGGGTCCTAGTAGATTCTAAAAAAACATACTGGGTACCCTGGACTCAAACGCCAGGTTGTGAGTGTCCCCTGTTAGAACCGTCCGTTCTACCAACTACAACTACACCAACTACAACTACACCAACTACAACTACACCAACTACAAACAAAAAAAACCAACTACAACTACACCAACTACAACTACACCAACTACAACTACACCAACTACAACTACACCAACTACAACTACACCAACTACAACTACACCAACTACAACTACACCAACTACAACTACACCAACTACAACTACACCAACTACAACTACACCAACTACAACTACACCAACTACAACTACACCAACTACAACTACACAACTACAACTACACCAACTACAACTACACCAACTACAACTACACCAACTACAACTACACCAACTACAAACAAACTACACCAACTACAACTACACCAACTACAACTACACCAACTACAACTACACCAACTACAACTACACCAACTACAACTACACCAACTACAACTACACCAACTACAACTACAAACTACAACTACACCAACTACAACTACACCAACTACAACTACACCAACTACAACTACACCAACTACAACTACACCAACTACAAACTACACCAACTACAACTACACCAACTACAACTACACCAACTACAACTACACCAACTACAACTACACCAACTACAACTACACCAACTACAACTACACCAACTACAACTACACCAACTACAACTACACCAACTACAACTACACCAACTACAACTACACCAACTACAACTACACCAACTACAACTACACCAACTACAACTACACCAACTACAACTACACCAAACTACAACTACACCAACTACAACTACACCAACTACAACTACACCAACTACAACTACACCAACTACAACTACACCAACTACAACTACACCAACTACAACTACACCAACTACAACTACACCAACTACAACTACACCAACTACAACTACACCAACTACAACTACACCAACTACAACTACACCAACTACAACTACACCAACTACAACTACACCAACTACAACTACACCAACTACAACTACACCAACTACAACTACACCAACTACAACTACACCAACTACAACTACACCAACTACAACTACACCAACTACAACTACACCAACTACAACTACACCAACTACAACTACACCAACTACAACTACACCAACTACAACTACACCAACTACAACTACACCAACTACAACTACACCAACTACAACTACACCAACTACAACTACACCAACTACAACTACACCAACTACAACTACACCAACTACAACTACACCAACTACAACTACACCAACTACAACTACACCAACTACAACTACACCAACTACAACTACACCAACTACAACTACACCAACTACAAAAAAAAAAAAAAAAACTACACCAACTACAACTACACCAACTACAACTACACCAACTACAACTACACCAACTACAACTACACCAACTACAACTACACCAACTACAACTACACCAACTACAACTACACCAACTACAACTACACCAACTACAACTACACCAACTACAACTACACCAACTACAACTACACCAACTACAACTACACCAACTACAACTACACCAACTACAACTACACCAACTACAACTACACCAACTACAACTACACCAACTACAACTACACCAACTACAACTACACCAACTACAACTACACCAACTACAACTACACCAACTACAACTACACCAACTACAACTACACCAACTACAACTACACCAACTACAACTACACCAACTACAACTACACCAACTACAACTACACCAACTACAACTACACCAACTACAACTACACCAACTACAACTACACCAACTACAACTACACCAACTATAACTACTCCGCTCCCAACAACTACGCCTACCACAACTACAACTACACCCACTACAACTACACCAACTATAACTACACCAACTATAACTACTCCGCCCACAACAACTACACCCACTACAACTACACCAACTACAGCAACACCCACTACAATTACACCCACTACAACTACACCAACTTCAACTACACCCACTACAACTACTCCTCCCACAACAAGTACGCCGACCACAACTACAACTACCCACACTACAACTACAGCAACTACAACTCTACCCACTACAAGTACACCAACTACAACTACACCAACTACAACTCTACCCACTACAACTACACCAACTACAACTAAACCAACTACAACTACACCCACAACAACTACACTAACTACAACTATACCCACTACAACTATACCCACTACAACTACCCGAACTACAACTTCACCCAATACAACTACACCAACTACAACTACACCTACTCCAACTACACCAAGTACAACAACTACCACTGCACTAACTACTACTATACCAACTACACCAACTCCAACCCCACCAACCACAACCATTCCATTTACAACAACCATAGCTCCTATTACTGCTATTCCACCAAATCAAACTTATACCGCCTGTGAATTGGCAGGAGAATTAGCTTACATTAGCGGACAAAATGTAGACTGGAATACTAATCTGGAAGATTGTAAGGGTTCTATTCTTTATTGTCGAGTGGACCTAAATTCCACCGTATCTCCATTCATCGCCCATGTCATTAAAATTGTAGGGCTCTGCTTGTCCAATGTGACCACCAGTTTTACAAATTCATATATAGAAGTATCGAGCGCAGATAGCAGCCTAATATATTATGGAATTTTCAAAGTAAGTAAATATGCACATGTATAATTTATGTCTGTACGCAAATATTTAGACTATATATTATTTCATTACACAATCGCAATTTCTGTAGTATACATATAGAATCACTCGTTTTGTTTACCTAGATTAGCAATAGATGGTGTATAGATCCTTATCAGAATGCACAGAATCCATGCAATATTAATTGTCAAGGTTCGTACAAAGTGGTCTTGCCGACCGATAATCAATTTCTAAGCCTCACGAATTCATGATTTACTATGGTAAATAACTCGTTGTCTATCCCACCTTTATCTGCGTATGCAGATCTGATTAACAACCTGGAAGGTAGTATCACCTGTGCACAATATATCGTAGAAGTAAATGGCTTTCACCAATGGCCTGAATACAAAAGATGGTGCACTAGCGTCCAGGAAAATTACCTAACAGAATGTCTACGTAAGCTACATATGACTGCCATAACCTACGTACCAATGCTAATTCTTCTAAACAGATCTGTTAATATTCTCTCGTTGCATAGGACCACCTGGATTCATATCAACCGATGGGCCCGAAACAGCCAAAGTATTTAATGAATTAAGTCAAAATCAACACATTGCCTGTTCCGTGCATGGAGTACCTCCACCAGAGTTAACCTGGGATGGAGATACCACCTCGTACATAGCTAGCTCTGCTGAGAGACTTGAAACAATCCAAATTCGTGAAAGAGCGACTGATGGATCATGGATGGTTCAGCGTCGTCTAACTTTCACTGAAGTCGTTCGAACAGACAACCGAGTGTATACTTGCCTTGCGAAAAACATCGCGTCAAATAAAACGCAAGAATATACCCTGACAGTGGTGCCAATCCCCGACAACCCTTCATGGACTACGCCGACATTAGTTTCTACCGGTATTGCGCTGGCATTGCTTTTTCCCGCAGCACTGTTGTTACTATGTCGCCGAAAACGGGTATGATAATAAGTTCAAACTTTAGTATTTCAATTCTGTCTGTATTTATGTATTACTTGATTTTTGTGCAAAAATATATCGCAGGCAATTAAACTAGGAAAAATGCACGATGACTTCAAATATGGAAGGCCGCTAGATGACAAACAAGGCGAAAAGAAAATTAAACGGCGCCTGTCATTCCTTCCTTCAGAAATTTACAGAATTTACCAGAACCTCAACGCACTACCCTTTCCGAAGGAATTGCAGCTCACTCCATCACGATTGACTTTAAATAAGAAACATATACTGGGTCGAGGAGAGTTTGGAACTGTATATATGGGTTTGTTAGATGGAATAATTCCAACGGCGATTAAAACTGTTACAGACGATTCGGATGATGTAAAACTCAACGCACTTTTGTCAGAGGTGAAAGTCATGGCTTTTGTCGGAAGCCACACGAATGTTACACAGCTTTTGGGAGTACAGTTGGTTGACTTGAGAAAGGGTTTGATATATAAACTACTCACAGGTTTATCATAGATTTTTTAGTATGAATATTTCTCATTCCCTATACAGGTCTGGTATATGTCGCTGTCGAGTACTGTTCGCTGGGTTCATTAAAAGAGTACCTAACAAAACATAGTAATGAGCTTGGGACTTCAGGGTCATTTTACAAATTCCAAGATTATGTGGATCGACCAAACTTCGTTCAACCATTATTTCTTTATGAATTATTGCGGTGGTGTCACCAAGTTTCTAATGCCATGGAGTTTCTAGGTTCAAAAAAGGTACAACATATTTGTGTAGTTGCAATGAACCCACATAGTATTAGATATTGTCAAAATGCAAGGCCATGCAATTTAGATCATTCATGGCGACCTGGCAGCTCGAAATGTTCTCCTGGATAATAATTTTGTTGCAAAAGTTTCCGATTTTGGACTTTCTCGTCAGATGTTCAATAATTATAAACAATCTGTTGTGGGTTCATGGGTGAGTATGCATACAGTAATTATGCATGTATGCAGTTTAGTTTAATAAATATATGCAACTTATACATAATGTTACTATGCTACAAGGATACTCCACTTCCAGTAGCATGGTTATCCATTGAGGCTTTGCGACATTTGCGTTTCTCCATCCAACCTGACGTTTGGGCTTTCGGTGTATTCATGTGGGAGGTATTCACCATGGGGGAAACGCCATACATCGGTATTAACTTGGGCCCGGAATTTGTCCAGTATTTAGAGGATGGACACAGATTAGAAATCCCAGAACAAGCTACAAAAGAAATGTAAGTTGAATTTAGTTGATGCGTAATTTTTGTGATTCAAACTTCTGCATCGGGATCGCCAGTGTATTGCTAAATATTGCTTCCTCAAAAACTCGCTTTACGTGTCACTCAAAATTAGATCAACCTTCATTTTTCCCTATTAACTTAGTTTACAAACTAAAGATTCGAAGATGATTGAGCATATCCGTAATGTTTACATCAGCAACTTAAGTTAGGCCATCCACAAAGTAAATAACCACGCTCTCAAAAATTATATTACCCTTATGAAACTGAGATGCAACCTTACTTTTAAAGTGAGAAGCCTACATATACGAAATCGAATGTAACGCTCAACTGCCTAAAGTGTGCAGTTTATTCTGGATGTGGTATACATAAATAATTTATTCAGAATATAAATCCTATTGCGTTTACTTTTCAAAAGTGTATTCTTTCAAAACCGTCAATTCTCCAACTACCCACCAGCTTACAAAATACTTGTTTGTGTTTTCTATAATTTAGATATGGACTAATGATGAAATGCTGGACCTACGCACCCACAAATCGAATCAGTTTTCAACAACTGTCAATCGAACTACTTCGCTTGTACGGTTTAGAGTATATGAAGCTAGCATAACGACAGACAATCAAACTTATTCCTGCAAGAATCGATTGGACTAATTTAAAAAAAAAATAAGGCTCCACTACTTTTACAGTTTCTAAAATAAATCAGGCTTATGAAGATATTGTACTGAAATTATTTCTAAATAATTGTCATTAGCGGTGAGGCGTCAAATTGACCCAGTCACAATGACCCACGACGAATTGACCCGCTCATATTGACCCAGCGACAGATTGACCCAATACAATATTGACCCAACACCATTTTGACCCAAGTCATATTGACCCCATGCTATACAAGCAAGGAGGATTAAACTCCATGAGCCCATTTACGTCTGCCACACCCCCCAAAGACGCCAAAACCTCACAGAGTTGTCCCACTAAAATCATCACCCAAAATCTAGTTTTGGTAAGATTTGAATTATTTACATTTTATGATCCTAGATAGATGCTCTGTCATATCCAATAGTAATCTCAACTTTTTTGAAGATTTTCTGATCAATGTATTGAAAAAATTCGAAATTTCAAAAAAGTTGAAATTACTATTGGATATGACAGAACAACTATCTGGGATCACAAAAATGTAATAATCCAAATCTGAGCAAAACTCGATTTTGGATGATGATTTTAGTGGGACAACTCTGGGGAGTTTTGGCGTCTTTGGGGGTGTAGCAGACGTAAATGGGCTCATGGAGTTTAACCCTCCTTGCTTGTATAGCATGGGGTCAATATGACTTGGGTCAAAATGGTGTTGGGTCAATATTGTATTGGGTCAATCTGTCGCTGGGTCAATATGAGCGGGTCAATTTGTCGTGGGTCAATTTGACATGCAATCGTCATTAGCTACCGAAGTTTAGAGTCGGAAATGTATCAAATAATAAATGCCAAAAATTAAAACAGAAAGATTAGGTAATTAATATATAAAGGTTTATGGTTTGTTTTCCTGTTGCAAGATTTGTTAAGATTATTTTGTCAACTAGATATGTACTATCTCTGGAAATGCACAAGTTCATGTTCCAGCCACATTCTTTATTAAGGTTGCTATTAATGCGGACTTGAAATAAATACCCTCTATATTTTTCATATTATGGTGCATAGTTTATTAATACATATCTTTTAATAAGTATATTCAAATATTTAAAGTGTATAGATAAGTTAACCATACAAACCTTTTTCAATTAGCTTTAGGCCACTAAAATTAGACAAAAATGTCTTCACCCCTTGTCGACCTACCTAAATGCAAAATCAAACAGATGTAAATATGAAAGTTTAGATACTTTCACTACTCACATTCAGAAAATGATAAAAAGTGCATATAAAATCTAAATTTCGATTCACGTTTTATCATGGTTTAAAAAAGAAATGCAACCAACGTCACCGTCCTACCTTACCAAATTTTATTAATTACCGCCAGGTAAATTTTCTATACAATTCGGTACGCAGTTTCAAGACGGAGCTTATCCTCGCCCCCTTCTTGGACAGGAGTCCCAAATTCTTTTGCCATCCTAGCCGGAATGATGACATAGAATGCCGAGTGTTCCATGTATCTTGATCGATCGTGAAATGCAACGACTGGAATGGACCACGTGGCTACGACCTGTGAGATATGAACGTTTATAATTTAAAATCATTCGTCATTGCGATTTATGAACAAAGTGACGGTTACTTATCGAGGTGATGGCAGCAGCGGTCTCGCTCCGATTTTGACGAACCCACCATAATCATGCATGTCGGTTTAGGTCAATAATTAAACACAGGATTTTTAATAATGCTAAATTGCATTGAAGACTGAGTGCAATCTGACTGGGTGCAATCTGAGAGAGAATTTGCAGTTTTACCGACAAATTTTTCTTGCGAGGAACAAAAACGCGAATTTCGCTTGCAGATTCCATCATACATAATTTCATTTAGACCGAGCATTATGAAAAATGCTAAAACCCGTGTTTAACTATTTATGTAAGGTTCCATAATTAATATTTATGGATAATTGTTAATTATCGTGGTTTCTTCAAAATCGGAGCGAGACCGCCTTGTTAACCTTCTTCTCTCCTTCGAGTGTTTTCTGCAATTCAAAGCAAACATGTATTCCTCCGCCGTTTCCTTGCTTCCCAACACGGTCATCCAAATGTAAACTGATGCATCTTCACCAATGTGGCTGAGTTGGAGAAAAACTTCCCCGTCCTTTTCAAGAATTCCGGTTGGAAATAACGCGCCAGCTTTGTCTGAGCAAGGAAAGGTTAGTAATTAAGATTAATTTCCTTGAGGGTTGGTGAATCCGATCCGCTGGATCTTATAGGATTCTTTTATCCGACCATTTACTACAAAATATATCGGATCGGATCCTGTGGTTATAGTAAATGGTCGAATACAAATACTCTCGGATAATCGCGTGACCCGATTCGGGTCTGATAAATACATGGGATGGGATCCATGTTACATATATTAAATGGGCGGATAATCTCGGATAATCCGGTCGAATCGGATCGGATAACTAACCCGAGCCGCCTGTCGTCTCTTCAAAGTCAAGGATATTCGACATTTATTTACTTACGGATTATATTCCCATCCGTCAACGGCAACGTGAAATTTCTGGTGCCCACGATACACTTGTGGCGATCTTGTAAATGTTTGGCGTAATCGGCATGGCTACCTTAGATTTCCCACAGAATTCATTTTTCCACTCGGTGCAAATAATTTCACTTAGTTATGAATAATAAAATTCCATTTAGATTACACAAATTAAACGTCCAATGACATAACACCACTAATCCTAAATACAGTGTTTGCAGAGCAAAAAGGCAGGCAATGCCTTTTTACCTGCCTCTTTGCCTTTTTGCCCCACAAAAATCTGTGCCTTTTTGCCCTTTTGCTAATTTGGGGCGATATGAGACGAGAGTCCCGTGATAAAATTAAAGTGAAAGTTATTCATTGCGTTTTTAATACTTTTCGCAAATATCTAGTGTCAAAATTTGATTAATTAAGCTGATGGCGATGTAGAAACAACGCTGAAGATATTTGGGGAAAAGTATTAAACTAATTTGAAGTATTGATGAAAGTCAGAACCCTCCAATACAATTTTAAAAACATATTGCAGATTCTGCAATTTCTTTAATACGTTATAAACGATAATAAATCGAGTTCAATCGTCAAAAATCTAGCAAAAAGGCATCAAAAATACAAAAAGGCACGCAAAAAGGCACGCAAAATGGCAAAAGGGCATTGAAAAAGGCAAAAAGGCAAAAAGGCATGCAGAAAAAGCAAAAAGGCTGCCTTTTTGCACACACTGCCTAAATATGTATTTACTAACGTACCGGTAATAACAATTTTTGAGATGAGTTTTCATCTCTGCAGCAGCAACGACTTCTTTTCAACCGGCATTTTCGTTTCGACATGTCAATTTGAAGTCAAACTTTGCAGTCATAAATCAGTTAATTACACAAGTTCCCGTAGACAATGTAAGAATTTTAAGTCATGACAAACAAACCTGTCGAGAAAGTCGTTCTGCAAGGTCGGACACCTTCAAGTCCGCCTGACACATGCCACACTTTTTCACTTTGTCGACGCAAATTATGTGACCAGCTGTGGATTGGCGAGGCTGGCTCGTCCAAACAAATCGTGCAGTTCAGAAGGTCGCCTAAATCTCTGGGAGCACGTGACTCTGCCATCTGAAATAATAACTATGTAACTTATTTTATAAATTGTGACAAACTATTTTACAAATGTACATAATATAACAAACCTGGAAACTTAAATTTTCTGAAATTAACAATTTTCCAGTTTAAAACTTTTCAAAATTTTTTTAGGAGAAATCATACATATTTATGTATGCCTTTCAAAATATATAATGTCTAACTGTTAGTAAGATTGCTAAAAAATATCAAATATTTCCACAGGGTATTAAACTTAACGTATAATAATGTACTTCTCGTTGAAAATCAGCTCTTGTGAGAGTACATATGTATGTATGTATGCAAAGCAAGAGTGCTTATCACTGATAAGTTGTCAGTGACTCAATACAAATGATAAATATAATCGCCATTAAATACATTTGAGCGAATCAATGACAGCTTTCTGACTTTCAAGCACCCACGAAGTTGTGGGTGACGTTATTTATCTACATATCTACCTTTGGGCTTATCACTCATTCACATACTTAACTGAGCAGATTCATACCCAGTGGAAAGTATTATGTATGTACTATATGGCTGGCTTCATTATGCATACATACATGCAAAACATGATGATTGACAATCATGAAATCGAGTAGTGACAGGAATAACCCGGATCGACGGAAAAATGTTAATACATAGATATCTGGAAAGATTGTAGACAAATTTTAATAAGTGTCGCTTTATGGCGCAAACTTCATTTACCTTAAAGATATCATTATTCCACAATTAATTTTCACTACTGCACAGAGTCCAGAAAAATTAGGGGAGATGATTAGGGCGGGAGATTTTCATGGGCGGCAGAGGGTCAACGGGAGTCGGTGGGCGGAAGATTTCCACGGGCGGGAGTAGATGGGCGGAAGAACGCGGGCGGGAGATCGTGGGCGGGTAAAAATGAATGTTGGATGATGATAAATACATATGTACGTGCGTTTTTACATATCTATTGGTGATCTAAATAATAATCTATTGAGGGGAGGGGATTTTCCGCAATTTCTTCCGTATCCCCCAAAATCTATGAAGTCCTTAACTACATTTCAGGCAAGGCTCTTATGAATTACAAATAGCTCAGTAGCTCGGATGTCTAACAAAATTATTAAAGAAAACTCGAAACGTACTTAACCCTTGATGGCAGTATTCAATCTTGAACAAACATTCAAAACATTTCTGCCGTATGGAAGATACATATGTTGGAAATCGTCACTTCGTCCCGAATAGAGGTGACTCACCTTTTCGAGTTGCATTCTTCAAGACGGGTTACAAAAAGGTGTTCACTCCGTACCTAACGAAGGGATCGAGACGCATGGAACAGTCCGGGTTAACTAGGTGGTGGATTAACCTAGATCCTTTTGTCAGCGTCTTTAACAAGAAAAAATTATTCTAAGAAACAGGTAAACATTTTCAGGCTGTGAAAGAATCGCTTGAAAATGTGCGGAAACAAATTACATTTCACGAGTCAGCTGCAATCCCCCTAGACCTATTATAATTCTGAGTTAAACCAGAGGAAGTGTTCCACAAAAGCATTTTCCATATTTCGCAAGACAAAGTGTTAAACTTGGGTTCTGGTGGGTATCCACCACCATCGCGCGGATTCGTGCGTCAGTGCCGTATCCGTCGCACTTTGTCAACCTCACTCAATCATGCGTCTCATTTAATTAACTATACTGGGTTACTTAAATGTAGGCTTATCAAAATACAAAAAAATGATGTGTTGATATATCACTAGCCCTCGTTAGTTACGGCACTTGCCGTATAAGTCCCTCCCTCAGAAACTTTGACCCCAAATTTCTCATGGTACCAGCGTTTCCCTTCGGGCAACAAAAGCTGAAAATGTAGCTGTTCCCAAGGAGAAAAATCTGGCATCGGGTTGTCCGAAGTAAATGGCTGGTACCATTCGGTTTTTAAGGATTTCTGTGTATGTAAAAAAACCGCCAATTTTCGAATTTTGAAACTCTTGATGCATTAAAATGTTCATATTCCAAGGGGAAGTCAAATTGCAAATGCAAGTATAGGTCTAACTCTTGTTCTACACGATGTACATTGACTTTCTCATTTTTCCGAACTTTCTTCCTTTATTTTTATAGGGGGTGTGGTTGCACAGAATTCAAAAAATGTTGTGGTACATTTGTCCTTGTACCCACAATTGCATTTACAATTAATTTTATTTGATTCAGTGAAATCGATGCGAAAAGCGATGGAACGTATCCGTCATCCTCTCTCTTCTATGTACCCGCTTTCTCAATTTGTGGATTAGTCATATTAATTTCGGGGGATCGATTTGTGGCAGAAAATTTTAAGCTTCTCGTCGAAGGGTGAGGATTGCGATGGGTTACTGCCATGGGCTGTTTATAATAATACGTAGTACTATGGCGACTTGGAAGATAATGCTGATTCATAGATTAAAGGAGGAAATGAAATGGTAGTATGTACACATGTGGATGTATAAAGAAGTGTGAAAAATGTATTCTTAGCTAAGGTGCGTAACATTTATTGTCTACGGTCTTACATACAAGTCTAACTAAAAATTTGGGTGTTACTTAATCGCTTTAATAATTATCTCGCGTAATAAATATTTTATTTCTGTGAAACGAGAACATGAAATTAAATTATGACGAGCAGTAATCCGCGTCCACACTGTTTTCCACGATCCATTCTGGATATTTTGAAACACGGGTGTAAACTCCAGGCGCGAATGGACGTGCACATCCTTAAAATATTTATAAGTAAAGAAATTACTTATAACTGCATACACATAATTGCATAAATTCCTAATTGTTTGTGAAAAATGTATAGTATTTATGCAAATGGGATTTGCTTAAAATTAAAGAGACTTTTGTAAATGTAGATGGATTTAGGGCATAATGTGGACAAACCAATATATTGATACCAGAATACGGACAAAGAAAAACTGAAGAAAAAATCTGGATAATGTTAAAATATTTTAGCCTTATCCAGGTTCTTTTAGCCCGTATTTTTGAATTCGTATTTTGCCTTGTCCAGTACCACTTTTTCCACATTATGCCCGGAGCCCGTTATACATAAATGCTCACCAAATCCGAACGAGACCACTCCGACCAACAACTTCTGTCCGTTTTCTCCCCTGTTTAGGACGAGAGGTCCGCCCGAATCCCCCTTAAGATTTCAGGTTATCGCGCCGTCAACTTTCCCTTGATCATTAAAATTTCCCAGAATTTTAAAATTTTAAGTATGTAATACCTGACAACTATCTTTTCCACCGGAACTCAGCTCTCCTGCACAGATCTGGGTGTCTGTAATTTGTCCTAAATATAGAGTCCTCCAATTGCACACTTTATTGGGAATGATGGGCACCACCACTTTTTGCAGGGTAGAAGAAACGCTTCCACCCTGTTCAGTTGCACCTAATTAACATTAAAAAACTTCACATAGAACACGCAAAGAATTTAAACAATATGGATTCTAACAATGTACACATTCTTAAAAATAGCGGTACCCGGTCAAAACGTCAATGCTTTCTGAATTAAGTAAATTATACTGCATTTACTTTTCAATAGGGAACCGCTATTTTTTTAGAGTGGACAATTTCTCACCCCATCCCGCCACGATTGCCTTCTCATTATCATAACTTTCCGAACCATCAGCCGGAAGGCAAACTGGTCTAATAGTGTTCACAATGTCGACAGGTTGTGCAAGTTTCAGCAACTAGAGAAAGAATAGAAATCAATTAATTTGAAGGTGAGAAACCCCTAACAATTTCGAAAAATTAAAAAAAAATCAATATTAAAGAAAAAAGTTGGAGGTAAAACAACTAAAAAACGTCGAAAGAAGTAAAAAATAATAATTTTGGTCAAGAACATCAAAACGTAAAAAGCCGGATAAAATACTCCTTTGAAAATTGCAAAATCAGTTCTTAAACATTTCTTAAAACTTACAGCAATATCGTTTTTAATCTTATTTCGATCATAATCCTGGTGCATGATTATTTCCTCGACGTCAATCCGCAAAGTGCCAGTCAAGGTTTCATCCTCCACGCGGAAATCTTCCTCGTTTAGCCAAACCTGGATTTTCTCTGCTTTAAAGGCGTCAACACAATGACCTAAATAATTACAAAATTTATGCAATCGTTTATTTAAGAGTGGATTGCAATTTAACCCAAATTTGGGAACGTTCATGTATCACGTCATCAAAATGGTGGGTGGTTCGATTTTTGGTCGCTTATCTTGCTCGTGTTAAGCTTAACATGAGTACAATAGGGAAGCAGTGAGTGGGCTCTGTAAAAATCGACATTTTTCTGATAACGTAATATATGCACGTTCCCTAATTTCATTTTTTCATACTTGCAGTGACCACGTATCTCGTGTTGACCAAAGTCCCCCCACAATACGGGCCCTTAATTTGGGTCGCATTTTCCTTCTTTCGAACCAATGCGGCCGTCCATGGCAGTTCGGAAATGGGGACGGCTTCCCCCCCAACGATTTTCGTCCTGGCGGATGTCCCACATTCTAAATACATACGTTGAATTTACAATTATGTATGTACCTATCTTATTTAATGGGAGTATTCACGCCAAAACTTTGTCACATCTTCGCATTCGCAAAATACGAATTCACCACCCGGATTTGGCAAACGCTACAAATTAGCGAAAACATTTTGCGAATAGTAAATTTGCATCGAATGAATACCCATAATGTAAGTACATACACACGTATTTATGTTTTGTACTTTACATGCAAAATATTAATTTTCGCAACTTGTGCAAAAATCAGACTACAAATTTTAATTCTTCATTCTTTTTCAAATGAACTAGATTAATTTTTTTGGTGTAAATATGCAACTCCATTATTTTCTTACTTCGTAAAAGTGGCACAAAAATCACTTACGACACGACTGATTTCCAGTAATTATCGGCCCATTGACAACTTTAAGGCCCCCATCGTTTTCATTATCTGGTTCTATATTTGGTGGGATTGTGGGGGCCTCTTCGCCAACTGGACTTGGAAGAGGGGTCGTTGGGTACTTGAAATCGGGATAATCGTCTTCCCCATCAAACTGAATTTCTTGTCCAGGTGTCGTCTCTGTTTAGAAAGCAAGTAGTATTTATCTAACACCGATTTACATAAGGGACTGTGCAGAAAGCATGTGATCGATTTGAGGGGTCAATGCATCCTATCCTTCCCATGTTTATTATAACATGGGGCGTATAGGCCAGACAGTAGATTTCAAAATTTCCCATAAATCGATCACATGCTTTATGTACGGTCCCTAATAAAATGGATGAATGCGTTCATATTATTCAGATTCATGATAGCTTCATAATCGTCGGATCGCACCATAAATTTGCCAAGTTTGTGAATGATGCGAATTTCTAGACAGGAAACGCATATAATTTTTTATGCGAAGCTCCAAATTTCACAGTTTTAAAATCCTATCTCCAACCTCAAATTTCATGCGAAATCAAAATAGGGCTTTTAAACTTCCGAAGAGAGCTTGCCAATTAAGTCGTTTACTTAGGAGGATAATTTCGCAAGCTTATTTGCATACAGTTGGTTACCCCCCAATACATATTTAACTTCGAAAATAAATATGAATAACCCGCCCTTTTACTACCGTTTGGTGGCTCAAGGGTAACGCCAATTGGTAATGATCCTTCTTCAATCTGAAATATATTTGCCAATTTCACATTAAATGTACATACATAAATCGGTGAAGAAAATGAGAACTTATCACTAACTCACCACTAACGGGGTTGCCAGACAAAGGCTAAAACTCAGGGCTGTGAAGATGAAAAACTTTAACATTTTTATTATTTTTCCACACTACTTTGGAAATTATAACCTTCACAGATGAGATTTGAAATTCGACTGGCATAACTTGAAGTTAAAATAATTGTGTCACTGTCATTGCTACAAAAGTACAAATATGTACTTACACACGCGTCAGGTGCATGCATGCAGACACATTTGAGATGTCAACTCATCCTCAGTCTCACTGGTTGGTTTAGTCTATAAAACTTTGACACGGTTTAATCCACAAATTTTTCCTTTAAACAAACAAATACGTATGAGCAGATGCATATATTGACCCAGATCTAATCAATTTATTGACGCTTTATCAAGGTCACGATGAAAATTTGCATGACAATGTTTTTTTATTAAACATAGTTAAGTGAGATTAGACATTGAAATGATTTCACATTTTAATTTACAACGTTAAAACATATGTCAAGAAAACTAACAAATTTTGAGGGGCATTCATAAATTGTGTGACTAACATGATGCGTTACAATTTTGACTATTCAAGATTCATGGATCGTCTAAATTAGGTTGGGCATTCAGATAATGGGTATTTTTAGGGTCGTCCAATTTATGGACGGTCCCTTATTTATCACATGCATTTTCTAGATTACATAAAATACAGGAAAACATTCACCAGTTTGGTGAAAACTTTACGGATAAATTTGTACATAATTTTCACGTTAAATAACTACACTTTTACATTAATATTTTTTAGACCGGAATTTTGGCGTATTCATATCGCAAATTCTGAATTCGGACGCTCAATGTGCGAATATCATTTTCGATTGTGCTCCTTAAAGCCAGGATGGCCTTTCTTCTTTCCACCGCCTAAATTAAGAAGTTTACATAGTAAATATTTTGTAAATTTACAAAACAATCCAACAAATTGTAGTTTATCCTCACATAAACGCCCAGCTCGTCTTGTAACCTGTCAATATTTTTGCCAAGTTGTACATGCAGTGGTGCAGTTAGCATTATAATTTGAGAATTTTCTTCCAGAAATTGATCCTTTTCCCAAATCAAGTGGTCCAGCTCGGGACTAATTTCCTATTAAAGGCAAAGCACATTTGTTGATGGTAAGAATTGCAAAAAAATTACACAAAATGTTATAAAAAAACACGGCTAATTCCTCATAGATGCATAAATATACGTCGAACAATTTTTGCAGAGTGGCATCATTGATTAATCGTAATTAACGGATTAATTGTTAATATTAATTAATCCCCAAAAATTTAGTATTCACATATTTCTTTTTTCGAAAAAATATAATTGTTGCGATGACTGGAAATTAGACATATCAAATGGAATACAAATTTAGTATTTTGTGCTAAATTACTGTGATAATTTTTAGCCCCAGAAAAAAATTAATTACACAAAACAATTGGAAAATAAATCTTACCCCAAAATGATCCGGAATTTTATCGAATAATTCTTCTAATTTGGCCAAAACTTGGACAATCTCTTCGCTCGAGATGTGCTTGAGTAGTTCGAACGCTTCTCCATCGCTCGTCCCCGTCATGGGGATGAGATAAACGGCCCTCTCGGTCAAACTGGGGTGCATCATGAGGTCCATCACGTGTCTGGCCTTAAACCTCACGTCGTTCACGGATTCTCGAAAATAGCCAATTCTCTTCCTCTCTTCCGTTATTATTTTCGCGACCTGATCAAAATTCCGAATTAAAATTATGTATTAGGGGTATTCACGTCGACGTGGTAAAAGCCGTAAACTTCACAGTTTCTCCCAAGACGATTGTCGCTATGGTGGAAGTCTCGCATTTTAAATAAGTACGTTGAGTTATGTACAAATTATGTATCGTGTTTAAAAGGGGTATTCACGTCAGCTTTGTAAACCTTGCTTCGCTCGCAACATTACAAGGTGTGCGAAAAGTTTTGATGCAACAAACCCATCAGAATGCCTTATTTTTGCGAAATACGGGAAACAAAAAAAATGCATCACAATTTTTATTGTCGGCGTAAACTTTACATTTTCCGCAAACTCATCGTGACGCCAATTTTAATTGCTCTCCTATGCAGTAAAGAATGAATACTTTATTCATTCTGTACGAAATAAATGAATATGAACAGGTAAAAGTTTCATAAATTTTTTTTACCTTATCATACAATGCACCCATGTTATCCTCCATGTGAATTAATTCCTTTGTCGACGACTCGATAAAACTTGTCGGACCACCGGCGATGTGGTCCATCTTTTCATACCCGGCCGTCTGACTTTTGAGTGAGGCCAGTTTATCCTGCATGGGGCGAATATGTTCCCCCAGAAACTTATCGAGTTCACGAGTAGCAGAAAAATCGGCAAGCTGCACAGAAAGCATTTCAGAAATATTTTGGCACATTCATAAATATTCTTATTTTTTTTTAAATCATTTACAAATCTCAAAAAATAACCAATTTTAAACCAGCTTTTGAAAATTCGAGTACTTTAGGGTAGTAATAAACTTAAAAGTTCGCATGCCAACATAAGTTCGAAAAAAATGCTAACTGAATAAGTTCGAAAAAAATGCGAACTGAATAAGTTCGAAAAAAATGCGAACTGAATAAGTTCGCAAGTGAATTTTCAAGATAACTTTTTTACAAATTTCTTTTTGTGAGCATTTCTCACGATGCGAACTCGTAATAAATATCCCTAAAAGCTCAAATAAATGGTGTCATGTTCATATCAAAAATGTTTGGAAATTCTCATTTTAAAATTTTTACGGCACTCTTAAAAATTCTTTTTAAGTAAACTATAGAAAATTCAGAGTAAACATTACTTTTGATTAAGTAAAAGTTCTCTATATTTTGCATAGTTTACTTAGCATGGAATTCAGAGTGCAATTTCCTTTCAAAAGAATAGCATTATCTTTAAGAGTGTACATTACAAAAGTGTTTTACCCACCTCTTTCTCAAAGCGTATCACATCCTTCGCATTAGCCACGATAAGCCTCAGCAACTCAGACGTTGTTCTGTAGTCATCCGAGAAGTCGAGAACATTGTCGGGAAACGTTTCTAATTCGAACGGTTTGATGAGAAACGTTTTATAAATGGCGATTCCGATTATCAACGTGACCAGGGCGAGACAAGATAACCCAATCTTCTTCACAGCACCGAATGTATTCTTATCCTCTCGCCCGTTTCGTTTTCGGTCTTTCCGTCTGGAAAAATATGTACGCATTAGGGGTTCCAGTCCCGGGATTTTTCGGGATTTTATTCCCGGGAATTCCCGGGAAACGGGATCCCGAAATCCCGGGATTTGAAGAATTGAAATCCCGGGATTTCGGGATTTTTCAATTGGTCATTCAGGATTGAAAATTCCTTATATTTTGCTTTTAGTGGCGGTTTTATATAATTTTCGATTATATTATTGATAAGAACAAGTTTCGATGAGCATAACCTGTCAAAATTCATTCTCAACTCCAAGATTAAAGCTTTACATATCATAGGAAGCCACATTTCTTAAATATCTATATATGTCTTAAATATATCTAAATCTTATAGTTCGCAAGTAAAATTTGCAATACAAAATGAAACCTACAAAATTTCTAATTTCGATGTCAGATTTAAATTTGAAGGAAGAAATAAGCCTTATCCTCGGTATAATTATAAAATCTGAAATCAGTTCGCTCAAAAAAGCTAACATGTTAGAAATATATAATTTCGAATTTTAGTCAATCAATTTAAGGCTGAATGAACGAGGTAGTTCATATATTTGAACTTGAAATTTTTGAATTGTCCAATTGTAGCTTTTTTTATAATAGTACCCTAATAATAAACTTTAATTTATGCATTTCATGTCAGGTTAAAATCCTAGCAAATCGTTGATTAATTATTTTATAAGTTTTATAAGTTTTCTGGAATGAAATTTTCAAAATTTTTCTTATCACCTCTCCAAGGCAAAGGGCGAAAAATTAGACTCACAACAATCAGATTGCACCGAAATGTTACATTTACAAGCAGACACACCACTATCTAATCGCTAGCTTGTACTGCTATCGTATTTATTTTGAGTAGGCCAGAAAGTTCAATGTTATAATAATACTTATGGATGCACAGATCTCGAAAAAACATAAGTATATGTACATGTGCATAAGTATTATAAATGTGCTTATATTCTGTACTTTTAAAAGTACGTACCTTTTTGTATAGGGGCCGTCCATAAATTACGTAACGCAAAAATCATCATTTTTTAGACCCCCCTCCCCCATCGTAACGGCATCGTAACGCTTCTCGACTACCCCTCCCCCTTCGTAACGTAACGTAAATTTGATTTCACCGCAGGTAATTTCTTTAACAGTAACTTGCAAAATTTTCATTTGTTCCAGGTTGTGTAGACAAATGTCGCTTTTATTGCTTCTACGAGGGGAGGCCATTAAATAATGCGAATAATGATTTATCTCGTCAAAGAAAGGTATTTATTCCAATTCATTTTGCGGCTTTTCAACATAATCTCCTCCCAATTCAATACAACGCTTAGCTCTTTGTATCAGTTTCTTCATGCCTTCAGAAAAAAATTCTTTAGTGAAGCTGTTTAGCATAGAATGCACACACGAGATAAGCTCGTTATCACTCTCGAATCTCCTTCCCCTGATAATTTTTTTCATATGTGGGAAAAGGTAGTAGTCACAGGGTGCCAGGTCGGGAGAATATGGGGGGTGATCAATTTTCCAGAACGCAGATCGATCCAGCGCAGCTTTGACAATCTTAGCAGTATGAGACGATGCGTTGTCGTGAAGCAGGAAAAGTCCACCTTGCAGGGATCCCCTCCTCTTATTTCTGATGTTGTAGCGTAATTCCTCCAAGACTTTCACATAATGATTGGCATTCATTGTACTTCCTTTCGATATGTAATCCGTATGCAGAACTCCATTGGCATCCCAAAAAATAGTCGCCATAACCTTCCCTGCAGATTTCGTTGCTTTTGCCTTGATTGGGCCACTTTGACCAGTAGTCAGCCACTGCATTGATTGTTGTTTTGTTTCGGGATCATAGTGGTGGATCCATGTCTCATCCCCAGTAACGATTTTGGTGTGAAAGTTGACCGGATCCAATTGGCATAAATTTAACAGGTTCCGACAGCATCGCACTCTTTCCTCTTTTTGTGCTAGTGTAAGCAGGCGTGGAACCCAACGAGAGGATAGCTTAGAAAGCCGAAGTTTTTCATGTAGAATGAAACCTACGCTACCACGTGAAATCCCCATTTCCTCAGCTATTTGGTTGATAGTAACACGCCTATCCTGCATCACAAACTCTTGGACTTTTGAACACGTGAACTCATCAGTGGCTGAAATTGGTCGGCCAGGTCGGGGTTCATCTTCAACATTTTTTCTTCCACACTTAAACTCAGTCACCCAACGAGAAACAGACGACGGAGTACTATCACCGTAAACTTTGTGTAATTTTTCAAAAATTTCGGTTGCCGATTCACCTTGTAATGCAAAAAACCGTATGGTGGAACGAACCTCAGTTTTCTGAAAATCCATTTTTGCTTGTGATGTCTGACTTTGCTCAGAGATTGTGAAAGAATGAGATATCGGAATCTTATGATTTTTGGAACACAATATACAGGATATATGTAGATTGAATGGACGAAATCTGAGCTTTGTATCTTATCTTTGAAGGGTAGATTCGCATTACTTATTGGCCTCCCCTCGTATTTCTTTTAAATTGCTAGATAAATTAGAATTTTGTGAATTTCTTGTTCAAGAACAACCGAAATCATATTCGACAAGAAATGGAAATTGTAAATCTGACAGGTCTCTCAACGTTTACCAAGACTCACAATGGAACCTTTTGTCAAGTTGCACCCGGAAAACTATCGTACGACCATTAATAGATGAGTACAATTCTTGACAACCATCATGGCGCCTAAGTGACCTCGTTGGGGCTCAGGTGATCGGCAAATTCCGATCAAATTCTCATCGTAAAGGTAAGGCTCAATTAATCGTGAAACTTACGTCACACCATCGCCCTCCGAGGTCACTGTGGAGGAATGATGGTTTACAAGTAGGCAAGAATTTTGCTCTTCTTTTAATGTGAGCACCATAATGAAAAACGTATTTACATGCGTACACTGAAACCTTCTGGATGACATGAGTTCAATCCGATTTTTAATCGCGTTTATGAAATGCGTTACGTAACAAATTTGTTATACCCCCCTCCCCCTACATAACAATTCGTAACGCTCTTCCCATGACCCCCCCTCCCCCCCTCTTGCGTTACGTAATTTATGGACGGCCCCATACCCAAATTTAACTAATTTCAAGTTATGAGGTAAATTTTGAATTTCGGGAAAAAATCCCGGGATTTCCCGGGATTTTGTACGGCTAAAACCGGGATTCCCGATTCCCGGGATTTAAAAAATTGTCCGGGATTGGCATCCCTAGTACGCATGTTAAAATAATGAAATTCACGAAGGCTTTGGTAACCTTGCAACATCCGTAAATTTGCAAACTTACAAACAGGTACAAATGTTTGAAAGTAAATTTGTTATAAATTTAGCTAAAGATTAAATGCATCTACCTATGCATTTTATAAAATTATTTTTCTACACGTAACGATTTTACAAAGTTACCAATGTCTGCGTTAATTACTTCATTAAATTTAACACTAATTACTCACTTAATTTGGACCACGTGTTCACGTTCGTGACTCTCCGAGTCCGATTTGTTCGGTGGGTTATTCCTCCTTCTTGGATTAGCCATTTTCTTTGACAATTTTCTTATTTAATTCGCACACGGCGTTCGAGTATTCATTGAAGTTTTAATGTGAAAGTTAACTGCGGATGCAAATTAGCCACGATTTGTTCAAGCAAATATTGAATTGCATATACTTTTTCTTTTAAAATAGTGTAAAATCTGTGTTCTTTTGCAGATTTACATTCATACTGGTGAATTTACGAAACAGTAAAAAATATTTAAAACGACAATACGTCCCAAAATTTCTTGTAAAGTTGTAAAGCAGAAAGATTTTAAATCGTCCAATGAAAAGTCTGATTACATCTCAGTTTTCTTTTGCATTTCTACTTTGCAACCTACAAGATTAATTTAATTGTTAATTAATTAACTTACTATTTAATAAATAGTATTTATTGTTGCAAAATTATACTATTCTGCTTACCTTTTACCTCGTGTCAAGTATCATTGACATTGACATGAATTGTGTCAACCAGTTGCGACGTATTTGTGTAAATTCTAATTATTACCCTGATGTGGATAAATTTCTAGTTTTATATAACCGAAATTAATTAATAAGTCAAAAGACGAATAAGCAATATGCGCAACATGTGATTCGAGAGTGAAATACAAATTCCATGTGAGTGGAGCACTTTCCCACTGCTGTCATCATCTCCATGACAACCAGACTGATCTGGGCAGCCTGCAACCCGGTCCCACAACAGCTTCTCATGAAAAATCTTCTCATGCACAAAGTTGTATGCATGTGTGCAATGTCATTTATCTGATTATGCTATATAATAAGTAATAATATAATAACTAATTTATTGCATCCTAGCCTTCGTAACATCATGAACGGTTATGTAGCATACATAATGTTGATAATAGAAAAATTGCAAAAATAATTAAAATTCATGAATAGTCGGAACTACACATAAGTAAACATATTTGGCGACTTTGTGCCAAAAAATAAAGCCATTACTGGCTCATTCCATCTGAACCCACACGATCTTCGTCGCACCCACATTTGATATCTTGTCCACAATCTTATAATAGATGCATAATATAAAATAAAACATATCATAAAAATCAAAATTTGAAAATTAATTTTTTTCTCAAAGATGTAGCAGTTAAAAAAATTTGGAAATGCATTGAAAATGCTTTCCTCGCCAAAGTGTAGATTTAGTGGGGTAGGTTACATTTACGGATTTCATTCATTGTTTATTCTTTGATAGAAAAAATTTTCAAAAATTCAAAAATTCGAAAAAATCCGAAATTTAAAATGTATTGAAAAATTCATTTATCAAGAAGACCGAAAAAAATCGCTTATAGGGAGATAAGCCAATCGATGCCTTTGGGCCTGAGGAACCAAAAACGTTCAAAACCTCACGCGATTTTTGTCCGTCTTGGAGTTTTGGCGATTTTTCGAAAAGGTAAAATTAACATTGGCTGCTTGTGTAGACAGCAGTAAATATGTAATTCTGTGTTCCTACGTGGTCGAGAACATTGACAACGCATACGTTGTGTGGTGTTCTCTTACAAAAGAGAGAAAATACATAGCTAGGCAGCCAGCGGCGTAGCCACGGGGGGCTAGGGGGGCTTGAGCCCCCCCCCCCCCCCCCAAAGCCCGAGCAAATAAAAAAAATACTTAAAAAATTACAAAAAATTGCAAAAAAATAAAAAATAAGTTACGAATGTAGTTATATGCTACATATTAGGGGAATTCGTTATTACATACCCTTAAGATTTTTTTATGGAAAAATAAGTTATGACAGCTAGGAGATTTTATAAGCGTCGTAAAACTGTACCAATAAAATCACGCTACCGGCAATACATATGTACGTTTGTATGTAAGCACTAAATGGTTTTCTTCGATTTTAATCGGACGAATTTTAAATTGTTGACGCACGAAAATTAAAATATCTACAGTTTTGCATTTTCTCGGATGCACGTATTTGCCCTTGTAGCGGAATTTTTAAGCAAAAACAAAATCATTCAAAATTCAATAACTTTTTTAATTTTACACTGATTTCAGAAATTCAAGAACATTAATGAGAAAATTACATTTCAAAAACTTGTAATGTTAAAAAGTTTAATATTTTTTGCATTTTAAAAAATTCCATGTAGCATGCAAATTTAAAATTTTGAAAGTTCCTAGTTGAGTATTTTTTGTGTTGCTTAATATTTGTAAGCGGCAAAATTGTAGCGGCAAAAGCTACAGCGTTTTGAAAAATCCTGATTTTGGTTAAAAATTCGGGCAAAGGGGAGGCTACGCGCATCAACAAAATTCAATAAGAGGGGCCCAGTTATTTCTGCGCACAAACTGTTAAGTTCGTGCGTATTATAAGCTCATGGTTTTTACAAAGCTTGACGCATCGTTTTTTATTGCAATGCTATTTTACGGTACGAAGAAAAATCTGGATACAGGTTTAGAATGTCAGGCGTGTGTATTTACTTCGTCGTTTTATGTTTCACTCAAATGTTCAAGTGTTTTTTTTTAATCAAAAATATTGTAAGCTTCGTCGCCAAGGTTTCATATTAGACAAATATGTATTAGACATATGCGAGAGGGTGACAATTTATTCCGGTAACATTTTTCACTGCAAATAAAATGTTTCCTTTTCAAAACTGCAGGTAAAATTCATTTGTCAAAAAAAGTCACGTCATTCTCCACGTTTCAAAGCGGTTTTTGAAAGCTGCTGCTCGACTCACCTTAATTGCTAAGGTCATTTTACATCCTTAAAAAAATTGTTTTTCACGCATTTCTACGAAATTTTTCCCGGCACATCCGAATTGTTTAGGATTTTAATTTTTAATTAGAATTTCAAGTCTTTAAGATCTCCATCTTGAAACATCTTGAAACTATGAAACTCTGTGCTTTCAATCAGCACTTATCTTCATTCCACCCATCACCCATGGTAAAAATTTCAACGAAAAGCATTGACGGGAGCAATAGGTATAGCTGATTTTGTCTCGAGCAGGGGCCAAAAAAATCAATGTTACTGGAATAAATTTATACCCTTTATAGAGGGTGTTCCGGAAGTAATGCAACTTTCGTAAAATGCATATATTCTAGGGTATCAATTTACCCCAGATTCGAAAAAGGGTGAATATTGTAGTCCACACATTTATCTCGTAGAATCCGAAAACCAGAAGTCGATATCTCTATCCGTTCCAAAATGAGGTCAAATACCAGCGAGCAACTTGCAATAATCGTCTCCACTACCACGAAAAAGTGGTTACCTGCCCCAAGGAATTGAGCTGTGTTCACTTTAAAAAAGAACAAATTCCAAAAGCGACAATTTGTTGTGTACTACTAAGGTATCAGCTGCAAAAAACTACTAATCGCAAAAAAATATCTGATATATGAAAATTAAAAAAAATATCTGAGATATATCTGAAATATGTCGGAGCGAAATTCGGTTAAGTACTTGAAGTTGTCACCTAACAGCATACATTATTTTAAAGCTTAGAAGTTGGACATCAAATCCTAGAAGGTTCTATAAGCTTATAAATACAGCAAAGAGTAAAATAAAAGTAGCAAGCAAGATGGCAGAAAAAACACTTGACCTGAAGTAATCAAAATTAATCAAAATTGGTCGTCCTGCACAATACGAGCTACTGCCTAGATTATCAAAAGGCTTATATTTCCACATAGTACAACTCTCCCACTTTCAAGAAAACCATATATTCAAAACTGGAAAATAAATCTAAGCCAAAGTATCCTGCTCCGCCTGAAAACGGATCAAATGCAATTAACATGGGAGAGGTGAACAACGTTCCAAAATTTTCAAAATACATAACCTATTGAACAATTTTGGTTTTTATCCAAGAAAGAATATTGTAGTCGAAAAACTTCAGTCAAAAATTTGAACTTATTTCATCACATGTGGTCAAAAATCGCAAAAAAGGTAACCAAAAACAGTGGCGAAGCACTAATGGGGAGCGCCCGACAAAAGCTTCTCCAAATTGGGCGGAAGGGGATATATGGACCATTCGAAGCAGAAACTAATTTGCTTCCACCTTTCTTCCTTCATGACCAAAATTTCGCCTAAAGAAATTCATTGATTTAGTTTATATGTGCATTTGACCAAAGTTGCATTACTTCCGGAACACCCTCTATTAGTCTTTACTCTGCACCAATTATTCCGATCATGCCCTAAGCTCCTTGTTGATTACTTTTAGCAATTTTTGTTACGTAGAAACTGGTTTGACATTTAAGTAATCTTTAAAATTTTAGTAATAAAATTTTATTGCTAAAATTTTTATGCTGCCCGGACTTTTTCGTACAATTTTTCCTTGAATGCACAGGCTATCTAAGGAACACAAGGTTGATTTTTAACGGGCCACTCCCATTAGAGGTGTCACGCTTTGCGCCAAAGTCACTTGGTACCACCAAGCTTGAACCCAAATTTGCAGATCCTCGTTAATGTGTGTTCCGATTTTTTTTCATAAAAAAACACTTGGATGAATTAGATACACACGATTTACCACAGATATAATAAATTTTTGAGGCATTTATAGGTCGGGCATTGTATATGGCGTTCTATAGTTAGCGGTTTCTGACGCTTAAAGCTTAGATATGTGTAACTATGTACATATATCCACCCTGTGTAACAGCGGTTTGAGTGAGTGAAGGTAGAAATTTTAAGCCTAGAAAGGGTAATCGAGAATTTTTTTTGGCTGGGCCCCCCCCAGGACCCAATCCTGGCTACGCCGCTGTAGGCAGCCTAACCTAGTGAGCAGGGTTTAGCACCTCTATTTTCTGGTACTCGATCAAACATGTTGCTTACAAATGGAATGACTACTTTATATGCGAATACATATATGTCGTAGAAAATAATAAAGCTATGTATGCGAAATTAATTAGTTTTAACTAATTACACATTTTGTACCAAATTTATTTCTATTTTCAATCTGAAAGAAAAAGGCCCCTCCAAACTTTGTAAACCTTAAAGATAACGATTTATAAAAGCAATGTAATTGTCCCTGTAAAAAGCATGCGAGTATGCGAGCATGCGAACTGGTATCAAAATGCTCATAAAAATGCGTGGAAAAAGATAAAGTTTTCACACAAAATCTAAACCTAGATACAACAGAGCTCTAACAGGAAGACGTGTCACATGACGACGTATCACAGGAACTTGCGCCATAGGAGGACGTGTCACCGGAGGACGTGACATTGGATGACGTACCAGAGTTCCCTTGAGCAAAAACGACAGGACTAAAAAAAGTAGTTCGCTTCTTTGGGCCTGCAGGTCTCGAGACGCCTCTGGCCTGTCTAACACCTTCGTCAAGACTTCGCCAAAGGGCGACTACAATGAAATTAGAGTTTTTAAATAAATTCCCAATTTAACATCTTTATGAAGATATTTTGTACCTGCAACAAACACCATTAACCCGATCGTGAGAACGACCAGCAGCAGTAAAATGTCAAGACTGTCCATTTTAACTTCCTGATAATTTTCAAATCTAATTCTACCCTTTCCTGTTCCGTTTAAATGAGTAAAAACTGGTGGTGGAAAACAGGTGATGCTCAAACCTAAGCTTCTCACGTGAACGTCTCTTCAATAACTTGCCTCCATTTGCATAATTCATGTAAGCTTTATGTATTTATATATGTATGTATGCGCAAATAAACATCTGGTTTTTTCAGACGAGTTTGTTCACACGAGTTTCGTTATAACTAACTATTATGTACGGATTTAAAAAAATTTAAATAAATCTCGTGACAACTTGTGCCCAGTCATATTTTTTTCCAGAAGTGACACTGTCATGTAAAATAGGAAGTAATGCATGGTCATCATTTCGTGTCAGGTTTATTACGAAATACTTAAACGTTTGAAATGATTTTTTTAGCACCGTTTGTCATCCAATTCTTGTGCTTATATGTAAATACAAAATATAAACATAACAATGCTTAAGTGTATCGCCAGACTATTTTTTATTGTTGCATATGCGCATAGCGTCGAATTTCGCTGAAGTTTTATCCTCATTAACTAAGGCAGCCATACGCACGTTCAGATTTATTTATAGATGCGAAAATGTCCCGGTTTCGATGAAGGGGTCAGTTTTTTTTAATTGAAAACACCTATCTCACCCCAAATTGTTATTAAGTGTTTGAACAAGAAGGTTTTGCATTGTGCGAATGTATATACTGTCGAATTTTTATAGCCGGTCACCTCATGTCCATATTTTGACGCATTCGCGTCAAAATTCGAGAAGCATAGAATTTGTTCAACATGGAAAGCCCGTATCGCCGAAAATCGGCATAGTGAGATTTATGCAAATGAGGGCCAAGCCTAAGTACGAAGATATGTAGTACATACTTAATTTCCTAGTTTCTCCTCAAAATATGCACATTTTGGGAAAGAGGATGTCTCAAAAATTTTACAAATTTAATGTTTTAATGCCAGTTCTGTATTTTAAAACAATGCTAAAACCGATATTTTTTTAGATTTAAATTTTCCTTAATGAATTTTTTAATGTCATGTAAGTAATTCTGCGCAAAAAATTGTTGAATTTTTGAAATCAGGTTAAAGTTAGAAAAGTTAAAGCGTTTTAAAAAATCCGGATTTTGGCTGAAATTTTTTAAAAATTCCGCCACGGGCGTAAACATGCCCATTCAGAAGAACGAAAAAATACGGGTCCACTTATGTGAGATTTGGGATCCGCCCACTGGAAGGGGAAATCTCTAAATACTGTGCACTGGACGGTGACTTTTAAATATGACCTATTGCCCTGACTGACCGTACGTATGAGCAACTCAATAAACAAACGAGAACATAATGATTTAAATATGTCACAAAATATCGAATCTTTACTATTTCGAATTAATAGGAATTTAGACATTATTCACATACAAGCCAATTTCACACCTTGATTCACAGGTTGCTACTTCTGGAATGAGTTGGAAAAGGAACAGCCCAGTTTGATAAGTAAAAAATGAGAAAGGTGACACGTCCTCCACCACGTGACGTGGTCCACGTCAAACTATACATACCAATAGAGGGCTCTTTGTACCCCGTTCACAATACATATACCAATTTTGAGAATTGACACTTATTTTTGAGCGTGAACAATTTAAAATTAGTCCGGTGGATATCGGCGGTAACCACCTCATACCATCTCACTGGCAACTTTAGTTTGTCGAGAACACATTCAGTAATAAATGAACGATAAATGGTAAAGAAAGCTAGACAAGTGTACATATGTACATAGAGATTGCTTCAAGGTTGGCTTTGTCCACAATCTTACCGGGTTACGGTAGGTCAGGTATGTACCACATATTTCGCAACCTCAGACTCGTTAACAACGAACTACATTAATATGTACATACATAGGTAGATATTGTGGTTGTGTGAAGTTGCTCTGACCTCGAAGTGGCGATACAAGTTTATTGGTTTACGTAAATATGTAGATGTCTACGTGTGTAGTTAATTGCATAACTTGTTATTTTATTTACGCGAAAACACACCCATCCTCGCGTAGTACAAATGACTCCAGTGTGTACCTGGATAGGTGTACATTTCTTGGGAAAGATTGCTTCACGGATAAGCTCTTGTATACTTGTACCTTGTTCCGAAGCTTTGTTGTGCAGCGAGAGGAAAACCCTCTGAAACATAATGTTGCACTGTAAATAATCTGGTAATAAACATTACCGAAATGCACAAATATACTTATGCCTCTACAAAGGTGGTAATGATAGGTTGTACCGTGTGGTAATGGCTTGGTACATAATAAAGTTTTACCATCATGGTAAAGAATTTTTACTACCTGGTAAAACATTATTACCAAATTTATTACCAAGAAATCATTGCCTGCGTGACTTTACCGGATTATTAAGAGTGTACCGTTATCAAACGCACATGCATAAGTCTGAATTCTTTAGTAAATAAATTATACCAAATCAAAGGTTCACACACTCTTACAAATCTAGTATTAAAATAATACCAGACGGTATTCATGTAAACATGACTCTACCGATGTGGTGTTGGTAATTAATACAGTGTAGTATTAAAGTTATACCATTTCAGCAGCAAATTATTACGGACCGGTATGTACATACACATAATTTTAATACTAACAAGGGAACCTTAAGTACTGTCACCTCTCGATTTCCTTCCAAATAGCCTTAATCGACAGATAATTTAGTGAAACTAAAAGTTATAGAGCATGAGGTGCAAAATCGCGTTTTCGCGAATTATTTGACTATAGCTAACGGAAAATGGCCAAACCTGCCATTTGCCCCAAGCTTTTAACATTAAATTTTGCTTTTTATAGAAACTTAAAAATTGTTATGTATGTCATAAGTATATGAGCGAATAAAGGAAAAGCTAATTTGTTGAACAATTAAAACATGCAAACATTGAAAAAAATTCTACACACTGAATAATTGAATCAAAAATTGCACACACTTGACATCAGTTTTTGCAACTTGCAAAAATGAATACCGCAAATAATTTCGAAAAATACGTAAAAATAGACTAGCATTGATTATTTAACTTATTTTCATAAAAAATTGCGATGTTCAGTTTTTGCAAATTTTTGCAAATTTTTTGCAACAAGAAAAATATATTTTGTATGGGTTAAACTGATAAATTTTGTTGAGTTTAAAGAAACGAAGAAATTCCAATTTGCGAAATTTTTCAGATTTTCGCAATTTGCAAAAAAAATGCAAATCTTTGCATCATTTTTTGCATGTTCGTGATCGGGCTGAAATTACGCGGATAGGTACAAATATAATTTATTAACATTCAATAAAGTTCATTTCATCATTCGATAGCCTGGTGGCTATGCTACAGGCATGGGGCAAATGGCAGGTTTTGGTGCAGCTATAGCCAAATAACTCGCGAAAAAGCGATTTTGCACCGCATGTTCTATAACAAAGTTTTAGTTTCACTAAATTATCTGTCGATTAAGGCTATTTGGAAGGAAATCGAGAGGTGACAGTACTTAATATTCCCTTGTAAGCTGGATCAACTTTTATCCCAAGAATTGATACCTACATACAAGTAGTGCTCGGCACTAGACGAGACGAGACGAGATAGCCTTGTCTCGTCTCGTCTCGAAAGTGACTCGAGACGAAGTAATCGAGACGAGACGAGATGACGATTTTGTCATCTCGTCTCGTCTCGAATCTCGTCTCGACATTCATCCATGTTTTTCAAAATATCTTTTGTATTCTTCAGATAATTACAAAATACAAATACACAAACTGCAAATATTTAGAATATTAATAATTGGCCTTCTATTCCTTATATAGTAAACTACATACTATCCTCGCATTTAGGCGTGTCACCTCATTTGCATAAATCTCTATAGCCCATTTTCGGCGATACGGGCTTTCCATGTTGAGTAAACTCTATGACTCTCACGAATGCGTTAAAATATGCAAATGAGGTTACAGAGCCGAGTACGCGGACAGTAGTTTACACAAAAAAATAAATGATAAATCTTAATCGTAAGCTAGTAACGGGACGACAAAATTTTACGACGCTTCCATTGAGTCAGTTCAGGTCAATTTTCGTTAGTACGTAAACACGTAAACTTACTAACCTTACCAGCTTTTGACAAAACGTACCAATATCTCTTGTATGTGATTTTTACCCAGATAAGTCAAATTTTTGGTTCATAAGATGATCTTCGCAGGCTTATGAACGTGGTTACGAGCTTACGAAGGCTAACATGAAATACCTGAATGACTCGTAACCGTCATAACCGTCATAACCGTCACACGTCATATGACGTGTCTTTTACGTAAAAATAAGGATATTTGCAGATTGGTTAAAGTTTTGATCATAATTATTCCTTTTATCTATTGTCTCTAAAAAAATTTTGAAGGATACTGCATTTCCCAAAGCTGCTCGCTCCTTGCAGAAGATTAGAGGACGGAGAATTTGCTGCTAAATTTCTAAATTTTTGATGTATCGAGACGTCTCGTCTCGACCGTGATTTGTCGAGACGAGATGGCGTTGGTCTCGTCTCGATCTCGTCTCGTCCCGAAATCTTTCGAGACGAAAAAGTTGGTCTCGACTCGTCTCGTATCTCGTCTCGTCTCGAAATTTTCGAGATTGTCTCGTCTCGCGCCGAGCACTACATACAAGACTATACAAGATTTCTAAGAGTGTACAAAATAAATGCATACATATGTAGGTATCATTGTTACTGAATTGTGTTCAGTCTTCGGTTTGGCTTGGACAGGGGAGAAGCATATTACGCAATTGTGCATACATACGTATTCGAAGTCACGTAGGTATGAAAATTTAAAGACTTTGTCAGTTATAACTTAAACAAACCTGGGACAATCCAGATTAGGCATTGGTAATCCGGATTAGGATTAGTCAATCCCTAATTCATAATTCAGGGTTTAAAAATAACGAAAATAATCCACCAATCCCGAAACTAAAGTTTTTTAAATCAATCTCCAATCCAACACAAAATTTATCCACTAAAATTTAGTGGATAAAAAATTAATCCACATTTGAATTAGTATTAAATCTTGGAGTACATATGTGAAACTTAATCCCCCGGGTTTTACGGTTTGGGAACGGCTATATATTACGTAATCATTTTAGTGGTTGGGAGTTTTAGGTCTTACTATCTTTCCCATGCTAAAATTTCCTATCCCTTAATGTTTACGTTGCGTGGGTAAATTTTGTTGAGAGATTTGCGTTACACTAGGGTAAAATAGAAATGTGATAAAAAGTCGATTTTTGCGTTACATAATTTATGAACGTCCAGAGATCTTGAAAACACCCACCCATCCAACGTATACATTAAGGGGTACGGAATTTTAACATGGGAAAGATAAGAACGCCTAAACCACCTACCCATTATAATGATGCCGTAATATATGGACGTTCCCTTAATGCTTAGGATACATTCATACCCCACACACGGACGGACGGAGGGAGGCCCAAGTTTAAACAGAAATTTTGAAACAAAAAACATGGACCTGATTCTAAGCACGGTTGAAGACCTGTAAATAAATTATAAATGCACTCTAAATAAAAATGTGTAATATATGTATCCCCCCTCCCCTCGGACAGGTTCGTCACGGTCAGCGTCCCTCTTTACGACACTATAATCCCAATCCTTCGTAAAATCCGGTTCTTCATCCTACTCCCGTTTACCCCGATTTTAAAACTCATTACGGACCATGCCTTCGCCCAGATCGGGGTTAAGATCGACTCCGACATGAAATCACACCCGGACATGGTCATCCTGGATAACCGATTCTACGCAAGGTTATGGTCCGATCAGGTGTTCGGTTTGGAAGAAATGTACGTCGAGGAGTGGTGGAAGACGGAAAATATCGAACTTTTGTATGACAAGATTATGACCGTTTTTGACAAGTATCGGTGGTTTTTAAAGCTCCATATCGCCCACTGGGAGGGGAGGTTTCGATGGGGCTGGTTGAACACGGGGCGGGCCGGGCATAACTTCAAAGCGGCGGAGGAATATGAACTACGCGAGAGTCGTTTTTAGTCCGATCTCAAATTACTCCAATGCTAAAAACTTATCAATTTTTGTAGTAAAACTAAATCCTGCTCCAGCTTCTGCAACTGAGAAAGCGGGACAAAGTCTATATGCGTTATATCCAAATTATACCAAAGTATGAAGGACGATTTGGGTATAACGCATCTGGACTTTGTTCCATCTTTGCCCTACTTTTTCAGTTAGCAGCAGCCAGCGCAGGATTTAGTTTCACTCCAACATTTCGCAAAGTTTTTAGCATTGGACTGATTTGAGAACGGGGATCTATGTGAACTACATATCTGTGCGCTGGCATACATACCTGTGCAATTTTATTAATTCGATTGTTTAAACCGGTTTGCTTACTTATCTATTTAGCTGTCGAGTACTTCAAACTGCTCACCGACAAGGAGCACATACAACACTCTTGCGGCTACTATGCCAACGGGGCGTCCACCTATTCCGCCGCCCACGTCGAGAAGCTCAAACTGATCGCGTCGAAACTTGAGCTGAAAGCGGGAATGACACTGCTCGATGTCGGCTGTGGGTTTGGCGGTCTTGCCAAATTCATGGCGGACCGATACGGCGTCACCGCCGAAGGGGTCACGATTTGCGAGTCGATGTCAAAGGTGGCCCAGAATCACTACATTGGGAGCAAAGTCACTATTAAGCATCAACATTGGCGGGAAATGGAGGGGAAATTTGACCGCATTACGATCATTGAAATGTTGGAACACGTTGGGAAACAGAATTATGATGAGTTCTTTAGAAAAATCGAATCCCTACTGAAACCTGGTGAGTGGGAAAAAGTTAATATGTTGTTTTACCTCACTCTTACAAATATATCGTTACAACGCGTGTAACTAAGGGGCGAAAGTAGTGTGGAATAAGTACCTCCAAATCAGTATCAAATTGTTTATGCCCTTGGAAAATCTGTGTAAAACCTTCAGGTGAGCTTTGAGGTCGATATACAGGGTGGTTTAAATGTCAGATTACAATGGAAAATTTTTCAATTGGAAAAATTCGTAAATTTCCATTAGTTACGGATTTGGATTGAGATTTTTATTAATTTTTATCAAAACCTATGGAACACTAATGGAGATTTGCGAATTTTACCCATTGAAAAATTTTCCATTGTAAACTGACATTTAAACCACCCTGTATACGTCATCATTGAATTCCGGGACATATTCCCTGTTTGATTGATACACATATGCAACTTTAGCTTTAAATGACATTTCGTGACCCTTTTGACCTTGAAGTATGTGTATGTATGATATACAGTGTCCTGTCCCCTTGAAGTTAGGAGTTTAGGACCTAAACTTTAGGTTAGGTAACTCTCAAAATTCTCTTTCTATTCTTTCAAAAGTTATGGGACCACAACGGACAGACAGACGGACGGACATAACAATCTTATAAAGGGCTTACACCACTGAATACTGCACCAGGGCTTCTTCGCCCGTACGCCACAGATTAGGTGCAAACCCATAGTTAAAATTCGCGTCCCAATGTTTTTCTTTCCAGGTGGTCGGGTTCTTCTCCAACATTACGCCGTGGACCCGGGTACTCCGCACTTTACCGAGTTTGGCTGTAAATATCAATTCGGTCAGGTGTACTTCCCCGATTTTGCTGAGTTCGTGTCCCCTTGTTCCCGCTACTTCCGGATCGCCAACGTTCAGGACTTTTCCTTGGACGCGGAACGATGCGCGCACCACTTTATCGACATGATACAAGATAATTGGGCAGAGTTGGAGGCCTTGGTGGGACTCAAGGTTGTAAGGGCTCTTCGAGCAACGTATGCCGAAGCCCTTGCCACTGTTAAAGCCAGGGCCGTCATGATCTACCAGACCGTCCTGGTGAGAAAGGATGATCGGACCAGGGTACCGGTGCAGTAAGAGAAATCGGTTAAGACGTTAAAAAAATCGTGGTACAAAATGTGGAAAGAATTACAATTTCGAAATTTAAATACAATTAATAAAATTACTTATTGTTTTTTTAATTTAGAAAAATTATGAAATTAAAAATACTAGAAAGAATCCACCACGACTCCTCCTGACTTTAGCAATTATTTTTTTGAAAAAAGACTTGAATAAAGGTTCCATTGTAAAATTTCCCATTTTTTAGGACGTTATTTATTTTTATTGAGTGCAAAAAAAGTCTCTCAAAAATACAAATTTCTCTTATTGCAAAAAACCTGTAATGTTGCAAATAACAATTTTGCAATGTAACAAATATGTAATAACGTGTACACGATTTTATAAGTAAGTTCTTCATGTCTTCAATTATGTAACAAATCACTCCTCAGAACGCTTACGTTTTGTATGTAACGATTATCTGGAAATATGCATAAATAAGTTAAAGTCCTTATTTAAATTTCCATAATATGATTAAAAACAACCTTTAAATTTCCGCTTGCCGAATCTCTCGCGTTCTGAAAAACATCCAATAATCGTTTATAGAATGCTAATTTTTCCTCTTTGTTCCGCACATCTTCAACCGCAATTTCCACGTTCTTGACCGAATTGGCAATCAGAATTCTATTTTCTGCCGAGGGAAGAAACGCCACGTGCAATTCGTTTGTGGAGACATGCAAACTTTCCAAACTCGGGAAACAAACGTTATAATCAAGTCGTATCCAGTTGTTTCCTGTCACGAGTTTATCGCGAAACTCAATATTTTCAAAAGTTGTGGGGTGACAGATCCGGAAACTTTTGAGGGCTGGAAAAACTGGGACTCCCCATTTCAATTTTTCACACCCATCCGGCCAGGATATGTCGATGGCGAGTTTTTCTAAAGTGGGGGAATGTTTCTCGAGCAATTTGTGCAGCATAAATGGCAGTCTGTTCAAGTAGGGATCATAAGCATCAAAAGAAACCTGATGGAAGACAAGTTTCTTTAAAGAGCTAGGAATTTTAGCGATATATTTTAGCCCCTTGGCGTCCAATTGTCCCGTCAATTCCAAGGACTTAAGTGATCTGATTGACATGATTAAGAAAAATTAGGTCATATTTTCAGCCAGATTATGGTTCATGTGGGAAAGGGGCCAGACATAAAGCATGTGACTGATTTTTGGGAAATTGTGAACCCCTACCATCACCGGTGTGAGCTATTGGATCCATGGTATAATTAACATGGGCAGGATAGGATACCTTAACCTCCCCCCTCAAATCGTTCACATCATTTCCGTACAGTCCTCTGCTTAGCCAAATGTTACATTTCGTCACGCCTCAGAGATAAATACGTTTGAAAATTTGAAACCTTTGATAAATTTTCAAAAATTTTGATAGAATTAACAAATGACAATTACTTATTTAAATCATGTTTTAATAATAATAATTATGTCAGATCACCTCTGAGATTTCTAAGTGACTTCTTATTTTAGATAGACCACAGGTCGAGGATCAACAAATATTACGAAACTACTTACCCAGGAAAATTCGACAAGAATCCCATCTTTCCAATTTCATATAGCTGATTACAATTAGTTTTGAGATATTCCAACTTTGGAAACGCTTCCGTAATCATTTGGCCTATTCTTTCCAGAAGGAGACCATCATTCTCTCTCCGATCCCAGATATCCCATAGAATTAGTTCCCATAATTCAGGGAAAGTGGTGCCTCTCAGGAAAGGGAAATAATCCATATCGTGTCTCCATTCAAACCTTAATTTCTCCAGAGTCAGGGCCGAATTCAGTACAATTTTGTCACACAAATCTTTCTGCCACTGTTCGGCTTTATACACCTGGACAAAAATGGACTTAAGAAATCCCACCGGGGGAAAGATTTTGAGGCCCACTGGTGGGAGGGTGTATTCCAGTTGGTTTAGAATCTCCAGGTGGACATTGACCTGACAGAATTGCATTTTTTGGACGATACCGTCCCACATTTTAAAGGGATCCGTATCCCGATCATTTTCCGGATAAAGTCGAATTTTTATAGTTGTCCTCCCCTTTAAAGTATGCGTAGCATTGTAATTCCATGATTTACAGACTAGTCGACACCGTTTTATGTCCTTGGTTGCAAGGAATTTGCAAAGATGAGGAATTACCTGGGAAGTGAGAATATACATGTAAATGGCAAAGTAAAAAGTACAGTTACGAATTTCAATTTCAGATTTTTTGAGGTTGAAAAAACTTCGTGTTACATCTGGAATTAGATCAGGTCCACAATGCGTACAGGCCTCTGTGCTATTTTCTTCGTCAGAGTAACATATTGCAAGTCCCTCCTGCAAAAACTAATAATGCACATACCTTAGGTACTCTATTTATATATGTATAGCCGGTTATAAGGACCGACTACAATCACAACCCTGGTATAATTTGTGACCCGGCTCTTTTTCTCCCTAATATATGTATGTCAGTTAAGAACATGCATTAGACGAATGTCGTAAATTACGACTCGTAATTAGATAACACGCTTATCAATTTTTTAAAAATTGGGCTCAAGACCCGGCCATCAATAGTGTATCGACGGTATATAAACAATGTACTAATTTTCGAGAAGAACACGATATGTATGTACATATGTAGATATGTACTCGTCTTACTTCAGATTTCTCCTTCCACATGATTACGATAAAAGACACGTAATTTTAATGGCGTAATTTTTTATTGTATATTGAAATTTAATTCGTGTTTTGGGAAAAAAATACAGAAAGGAAGAGATGAAATACACAAATATTTATGCATACACATGTAATGACGACCAAATCATATGGGATGAATTGTGCAGAGCTGATGTGGGTATGACGACGTACATACGTATGAACTTAATTACCTACATACATATGTATGTATGTATGTATTGAGTTATTGCAGCTGCCTGAACACCACCACAACTTTGTCGCCTATACATACATATATAAATATGCCTCATGCGCTCTTTAATTATTCATGAAACGAAAAATCTGAACTTGTTGAGCATACTCGATCCTACACTCTAAAAATATTAATAACCCTAACCTAATTAAGGTATTAATAATATTGCGTATTTCGCCTCTGCGGTAGGATTAGGTATTACCATCAGCAGTAGTATGGTAACGCTTTATTACCATTTCTTCCACCATGTAGTTACCACATTGTGGTATGAAACAGGCTGCTACACGTTTTCAGATGAGGTTGACAAGAAAGACTACAACCACCGTTTCAAATTTTTTGTTGGTCGGCGTTGATACTAGGGTTGCCGCGGGTAACGGGTCGGGTACCCGTTACCCGCATACCCGCACGATTCTTGCGGGTACCCGTTATCTGCGGGTAGCAAGAACTACCCGCACGGGTAACGGGTAGTTCAGTTTTTATTTAATTTTCGACGTAAATCAGTTCACAAAGAAAGTTAGCAGCAACTTAGGAGGAGAGACCCTCTACATGCCCCTCTCAGATCTCGATGCCTTTTGCATATGTAGTAGCCCAGGGTGAGTGAAGGATAACCCTAGAGTGGTTTGATGCCATGACCACATTTGCGCCCGCCACACCCCCTCAAAGGTGTGAAAACCACAAAAACTGTCAACGTCAAAAATCCGCCAAAAATCCAATTTTGCTCGGATTTTCATAAAATTTACATTTCTGTGATCCCAGATACTTGTGTGATCATATCCAGTAGCAATCTCAACCTTTTTAAAATTTCCGAAATTTTAGGACATTCCACTGCTCATGAATTATTCGAAAATTTGCAAAATTTCAAAAAAGTTGAGATTGCTACTGCATATGATCACACAAGTATATGGGATCACAAAAATGTAAATTTTATGAAACTCCGAGCAAAATTAGATTTTTGGTGACAGTTGAAGTACATGAAAACAGGGCTTTTTTCGTGTTTTTTACACCTTTGAGTGGGTGTGGCGGGCGCAAATAGGGCCATGGCATCAAACCACTTGAGGGTTTTTGTAGACTCATAGGGTACTCCAACATATCTAAAGGGCATCGAGATCTGAGAGGGGCATGTAGAGGGTCTCTCCTCCTTAGTCCATTTACCTATAAAAGTGACAAGTTATTATTTATCCATTTTAAAATTTGCTATTTGCCATTTGCCAGCTACTGGCGTTTATAGCGAGCGTGTTTATTCTGAGGTCACAGAAGCCTACGTCAGCCTCAAATGCTTATAACATCCCGAAAATGCTGAGAAATTATTGTTTCTCAAGCATAATTAGCCTAAAATATCAATACTAATTTGTCCTGTATTAGTGTCTATTTACGTTATACTGAAGAGATTTTAATTTGTGCTTTGAAGGTGAAAACCTCAATCCGACTGAAAGCAAAAATTTTATTCGTAGACAATTTTTTATTGAGAACTTTATTGAAATCAAAGTTTAAAAAATCAAACTAAAAATTTAACCTTTTTTCAAGCTACACGAAGATTGTCTAGCGAGAATATCAAAAAGTAAAGCCAAAAGTTTGGAATCGCGTGATACTTTCCGTTGAATGTCCACTTTAAAGAAAAACATTGGAGCCAAAGTTCAATTTTTAAGTAAATGATCTGCATCTTTTGCCTCCACTGGGCGAAGACCATGGTTGATGGTGGACTTTGAACTCTCCCCTCCCATAGTTTTCTTTAAAGGGAATGTAACGGAAAGATCAGTGATAATTCATAAGTTTTGGCTTAATTTTTTTTTTATATAATTCGCTAAGAAATCCTGGTATAGCTTGAAAAAGGTTCCATTGTAAGCCAAAAAGTCTGGTTTGAGAATCATCAGATGATATCTAGCGAATTATGGCATTCGTAACATGCACAGCATTATCTCAAACTATTGAACATCCCAAATTAGCAAATAATTCATTAAATTTAATTAATTCTGAAGGTTGGTTAGTGTTTAAATTAATTCTCATAATTCTCATAGCGGGTAACGGGTACCCGCACGGGTACCCGTGCGGGTACGGGTAGTTGTGCTGCGGGTAGCGGGTCGGGTAACGGGTAGTGTTTTCGCTACCCGCGGCAACCCTAGTTGATACCTAGGTCATAGCGGGGAGTATGAAAATCTTCGGACACATAGATCCACGAATTGATTTTATTCCCGAAATCTTTCGCCACAATGCTGAGGATATGATGATGATGCTGATGCTGCTGGAAGAAAAAGCTACAAAAATTGAGGGAGAAATATATATATCATGATGTTCCCCGTGATGTTCATCAAAGATTTAAAAAAGTGGTCACTTTATTACAAGACAACTATGTAGCTAAAACTAAGCATTCAACGTGTTAATTAAAAGCATAATGTATTGCTTTTGTACAAATCTGCATGGGCACAGTCCATGCAGTTCGTGGAAGAGATGGAAGTGCTTCAACGTAATTTCTGACGAGCGACATCCTGCAAAGAGGACAAAGGAAAGCAAGTACATATGTGGCTGGCTTTAATGATACTGCTGGGATAATCCTTGCTGGCGATAAAAAGGGAGATCTCCAGTAACAAATGCTTTGTTGATGTTTTGTTAGCACCAAGTAAAACTTGGTGAAAGAAAAGTGCTGCAAATAATATGCTAGATGTGCCAAATAATGGATGAAATCTGATGGTATATTAGCGGCACATCATCCACTCATAAGCAATACCATTTTTTATAACGGGTGCAGTTCTCTCGTTTTTCCATCGTCTGCCTCTTCATTTTTGTTGAGTGCCTGCCTCCTGCTAAAGTTACTCATTATGGCAATTAGATATATGTACACGTATATGACTCTTTATCACATCAAGTACAATTATTTTAAGAACGCACCAACTTGGCAAACTGGCCTCTAAATTCATGATTAATATTAAAAATTAGTTCAACATACATAATTTGTAAGATAATTTAGAAAGATTCCACCAAATTTAGACGGTTTTAGGTCAAAAGCGTAATTATTTAAATTAACAAAAAATTCGAACATTTTGACCTTTATCTTGAAAGGAATTGGAATGCCTCCAGTATTACTGATGATTCATGCTAAACAGTGATGGAGCACTATTTATACATATGTATAGGCCCCGTTTTAGGTACAGGCAACCGCCTAGGGCGCAAGATTTTTGGGGGCGCCGGCAGGAGCCCCTGTACACTAGATAAAACCAACTTTGTGGAATTTATAATTTGTCGTGGAAGAGAGCATATAAAAAACTGAGTTTCACTGAAATCTATAGCACAAAATTCTTGTTGTAAGTATTATTCACAACTTTTTGCTCGAAAATCCGGCCAGATAAACTAGCAATTTCTTTGTAACACTCACAATGCAGAAGTGTTAGGTGGTTCTGGTTATCTCCGATTTTAACCGGGCCAATTTTCAATTGTTCACGTGTTCACGTTTAAAAATACCTAAACATGCCGACTTGTCTTGAGTTCTATTGTTTTCGCCTTTGGCAGAATTTTGAAACCAATTTTAAGCTAAAACTTTGATTTTTTCAACCGCGTTAACGCTTCGAATCTAACGTGAGTTAAAATGTTAAGCAAAATTTTTGCTCTGAATTACTGCTCTGAATTTAAAAAAATTCATTTGTTTTTACTTTTAATATAAAAAATTGACATTTTTAATCTATGAAGATTAAAAAATACTCGTAGTATGAAAATTTAAAATTTTGGAAGTTTTGAAAAATTGTTTTTATAATTTCGGGGAATAAATTCTGAACAAAAATCGCTTGATTTTTTAAACCGGGTAAAATTTAAAAAAATTATCGCATTTTGAAAAATCCAGATTTGGGGGTGAAAATTTATTTTAATCCTGCGTTATATTCTTAAATAGCTACTTTCTGAGCATACACAATTTAAAATTCGTCCAATTAAACTCCTGTGTTAATATGATTTAATTTTTAATAAAAAATCTTAATGACTGCCATAATATTAAATGATTTTTTTCAGCGATTAAAAATATTCAATTACATTTACTTAAAAATGCTAATTTGTGGTAGTGCAATTCTTGTTAGTGTAAAATGCAAATTTGTGTAGGATTAAATATATAGTATGGTGTGGCAAAGTGCATAGGAGCGCCGACAGTGCGAGTGGGGGCGCAATTATGGTTTTGCCTAGGGCGCCAAATTGCCTAGAACGGGGCCTGCACATGTAATACTGAATTATACTTAATATAGCATATTATAAAAATTAGAGATCGAGAGATTGTTCTCCAATTACACTCATTAAATACACTTAAATACCTTGTTCGTGGGATAAACATTTTTTCTCCAACAGTTATTCAAAATTTAGCAAACTTTCAACCTAAACAGCCCATTTATCATGATAATTTGCAGATACATATATTTTAGCTCAATATTTCATGTTTCTATTTAAACTACGCTAATAACCTAAGCTACCCAAAAATTTAGAACTTCGAAAAAGGCAAACAGTCCACCCCGAGCATTGATGACATATGTACGTTTGTACGTACCGTTTAGTTAACAAAATCGATACTGCTGACACGCATCTACGAAATTCAGAATGACAGCTCGCCAAAAATCAGAAATAAGCGAAATATTTGGAATTTTTCAAATCTATTCGGAAATTATGGAGAGACACATTCTGTTTGGCAAGTGTCCTTTCTACCTGTACAGCAAGGACAATAGACCCCACCTAAACTTGAAGATCTTATCGTATTACAAATTTTGGATTAAAATATGCATTTTTGTCACACTCTTTGCCGCTCCTCTTACCTTAATTATACTGCGCTTCTTTAACAATAATTTGAACTTGTTTGGCTGCTTTGACGATAACGTACCGATTAACGTGTTCAGCTTATACTTCTCCGGCGCTATACTAATTTTAGGAATCTGGTTTATATTTCTACCGCTTATGAATTTATGGGAAGGGCTGGTCAGTCAGGAAATTCATCGGACATTTTCAATGTTTCAACGACTATCGCAAGGTATGCAAGAACTTACGCGCATTTGAAGACTGACCTAGTCTGTAGTCTCTCGGCCCTATAACCTGGCACCCTAGGGTATAATTTTTAAATAACTGAATTTTTAACAATCAAAGCTTATGGTAGAGAGTCTCTTGTTTAAAAGATCAACCCATAGCCTAATTTATGTATGACACGTTATTTTTACGTTCACGATAAAATTTTGAAAATTTAAAAATACTGGGCGCGTTGATGTAGAACTGATTGATTGTGTGCCCCATGTAACAAGGTTTCCGACGTTGGAATTTCTATACGAGGTAAAATTACTGTTCAATAAAATTTATGCCGGCCAGCTTTCATATAGAATCTTAGTTTGTCCCAAGGGAAAAAATGGAGTGGACATAAGCACACGGATAAACCGGATCGGAGCAATATTATTCAAAATATACGTGAAACTCCCCATCTTTCTCACCTTGGTCGGCCTCTACTTCAATCTGGATCCATTGTATTATTACACATTGGATATGTCTTTGGCACTTATTGCGAAGCATAGACGGTTAGGTGACGCGAAGAACCCTGTGTTCAGTGGGTGGTGCTGGATCTATGTATGTATAATTAAATTTTCTGGCGTTATGACTGGTCGAAATATTTAAGTGTGTGGAAATTCCAGTGGCGAAAGAAACTCGGGCGAAGGATGATTCATATCTGGGGATCCACTATTCCCCGAATTAGTGTTATGGTGGTTCTGTGAACTAACTGGTATGCCACCAATAATATTTCCAATGGAGTTACGCTGGAAATTACTTCCGTACGGCGAACTGTGAAACGCGTGAGTACAAGAAACAAAATATTTAGAAAATTTGACCCGAATTACACTAAAACTAAATTAAAGAATCTAAGCATAAGTAGGCGAGCAGTTTTAATCCTGGGTTTAGTTGGAAACCATAGATTTACATAATTACATACATCTTAAACAACTTGTTGAAATCCAAGAAATATATTCAACGAAATGTCACAACAAAATACTGTAATTCACCACGTGGCGGTACATGCGGGACTTTTAAAACCCTTGCAGTAATCATGCTTTCATTTGTAGAAACCTACATAATACGATTGCACATCGACTCATAAAAATTATACGGGTACAAATATAATTTCACATTTTTCCTAACACACAAAAAATTAAAACTATGATAGCCTCTTACTTATTAAGTAATGACCCTTCAAAAACATGGGCACTTTAGATTATTTGAATTACTCACCACCCGCCATAAATGATAAATGGCATAGCTCCTGAATACCAACGCGGTCTCCGTTTTGTTTCCAAATCTGGGATGAAATTTGTCTCAATCTGGGCTTCAGATACCTACAAATTTATTTCTTTATTTGTGTGTTAACGATAATTAATTTAATTTAATTCAGATCGTAGTTCGTACTAAACTTTTGGGCACACTTTGAAAAGATGTAAGCCTTCCGGGCTCCAACGTGCCATCTGTGGAAAGCAATTTATAAATTTATTACCAACAATTGGTCAGAGAGACACCGGTTAATTTTGTCTATGCATATTCTTAGTTTTCGAAACCTTTAAAGGAAGGCGATGAATATGATCTGGATCCAAATTCCACGGCCTGTGTCCCATCTCCAACAGGATTTCTGGTATGAAGTGGATTCGCGAGACTGTTTGAGACCAGGGCCCCATTTCACCACACCCTAGTCTGCACTCCAGATTCCGCACTCCGCACTTTACAAAATTTATAGAGTGCAGAGTGGGAGCGTTTCACAGTGGCGACCTACTCCGCGAACTTTCGCTCCACAAAAATGAAAGTTTGCGGAGTGAAAATGCGGAGTTCATTGCCCCAAAGTTCAGAAGTTGTTAATTTTCTCAATGTTACGCTTCATCCTCTACTTCTCACACGACTTACACCTTCATAAATTTATTGTTTTCTTTTCGTGATCGTTCAATCAAGTGATATGGTAAGTTAATTTAATTACACAAAATATAGGATTAAATATATTCCATCATTTATTTATCATAGGCTCCCAGAGTTGCAAAATCTCATAAACTGCCTCTGTTGAACATGATCAAACAGAAGAAGTCGATACTTTTTGGAAACTTCTCTAGTGATCTCGACAATAAAGCAAAAACTAATGCATGGAACGAGGTACTTTTAAAAGCAAAGTCGCTACAAATTGTCTCGGCCGAAAGAAACTATGCGTTCGTTCGTGACAAAGTTTACGGCGCATGGAAAACTAGAACTTTAGTGAGTAAAACCATCTTAATTATCCATCATTTTAGCAATCTGTTGCGTAATGTTGACAATTTATTTTGTATTGCAAAGCTATGGAGCGTTATAATAGACTAGTAGATATAAAGGTATAATTGTTTTAGGAGAAGCGAGATAATAAAACCAAGACTGGAAAAGGAGGCGGACGCGAAAAGGTTTTAGACGACATGGATTTTTTAATACTCGACATTATTGGAAAGGATTCTGTCGCCTTCGACGGTTTGAATGTTGGCGAGAGTGGAGCGCCGGCAAATTTAGAGCAAGATCCTGACATCCCTATCGATACTGAAATTCTTAGCGAGCATGCAGACATTCCTTCGACACACTCATCCACTTCAAACAGGCCCAATAAACGACCGCATTTGAGCCAAAACTAATTAAATCAAAGAGAGGAAACGGCCAAAAAATTAAGCTACAAAACCAATTACTTGAAATTACGGTATACAAAACGAAACTGGAATGTTTGAAAATCGAGAGAGAACTTAGTCTTCCTAAGTCTATGCACACCGAGACCCTCTTCAGTGATAATTAATTTGTATTCTTGCTTTTAATGTTGAAACCCGTTTTTAATTATATTTAATTGTTTTGAAATTTTCAAATAATTTCAAGTTGAAATGTTTTAAAATTATTTTAAAATGTGTTTTTCTAGTTTTGTACAAAATTTATTAATTTGTGGTTAAACAATTAAACGTTATTTACTATCCAAATTATTTTGTATATATTTGACTATATACATAAACATCTTGAATAGATAACATTTTTAAAATATGATTACTGTTGAAATGCTGGAATCAATAACGAAAGTAGTTAACTAGTTGCTGCTGACGAGCGACGCCACTTGGTTCGTACGGAAGTTGTAGATCGGGGTTTCTGTCAATTGGGGGGAGTTCGTTGGGAAGTATGTATTCAAAGTCGTCTCGTGACGCGATATTATGAAACGTCATACATGCCATTACTACTTTTGCTGCCATTACAGGTTGAAGACGCATCATATTTAGGCACGGAAATCTCTCCTTTACTATACCAATTGCACATTCCACGATCCTTCTAGTCCCCTTATGACACCGATTATAGCGAATTTCGGCGATGTCGTTAGTTGCGTCGAGCATTGGTGTCATGAGCCAACTCTTAAGTGGATACCCAGAGTCACCTTAAAATTACACAGTTTCCTTCAAATCAAGACGTTTTAATTTTAATTGACACGAGTTATTTTCTGTTACCCAAAATCACGGCATCGGCGAATGGACGCCAACCACCGTCAAATCTGTCACAAACATTCTATCGGCGGAGGACTCTAGCGTCATGTGTTGAACCCGGGCAGCGGCTGGAGATAAAGTAGAACGAATAGTCGGGGCCACATATAACCATACAATTTAGCGAATGATTCCCGTGCCGATCTACAAATTGTTCTTCGTTTATGTTGGGCGAATCAATTTTGATTAGTGTGCCATCCACACAGCCTGCCACAGAAGGGAAGCCCCCAATCCTTAAAAATTCTTGGGCAATGTCGTCCGTATTATCCGGCCAATGCACTATATCTTGAAACATGATTTCAATTGTTGAGTCCACAACACGTCTAACAATTCTGCATACCGTTGACTTTCCAATTCCATGCATGTCAGCAACACAATGGTAAGGGCTGCCACAACCTAACCAGTGAAGTGCAACGAGTAGTTGCTGCCGTGGAGTTAAGGCCATATTTTTTTCTGAATTTATGAGATTCTGTCCAATTTTCTCTACAATAAACTCAGCTTCTGCTCGCCGAAGTCGGAACTTTTCTCTAAATTGAAAATCACTGATGAAGCGTTCATCAAAATTTACCCTTGGACGATAAACCCTTGGTTGAGGGTTGTTCTCTTCATTATCCGAGAAATATAACTCGTTGATATCCATTCTGGTACAAATGGTACATAATCAGTAAACGTGAAGTATAAACACCACAAAGATGAAGACGGACTTACTTCTGTAGATGGTGACAAAATTTTCAGTGGCTGAGATAACACTCCAAATTAAGCTTTGTTTTATGATGCACTTTTTTCCACAGGACAAATTAACAACTACGAATTTTACAACTCATTTAATTGGGGTAATAATTTGAACAAATACGGCTAAAATCGTCTGCACTTAATTTATGTTGATAAAAATCATAAAGAGAAACACAAAAAAGCCAGTTGTAGAGTGTCCGATCACTTTGCAAAAAAATATGTAGAGTGCAGAGTTTCGAGCGATGACCTTTCGCGGAGTAAAATTTGGTGAAACGGGGAAGGTCAAATTTCACTCCGCACTCCCCAAGATTTGACTCCACAATCTGGACTCCGCACTTCACAAAATTCTGCTTTTGTGAAACGCTCCACCCCACAAATCCACAATTTTTTTTGTGGAGTATGGAGTGCGGAGCGCTGGTGAAATAGGGCCCAGGGCCCTATTTCACCAAGATGACCTCTGCACTCCGCACTCTTCACTCTGCACTCTCTAGAGTTGCAGAGTGCAAATGCGGAGCGTTTCTCGGGGGCAATGACCTTTGCACTTTTCACTCCTCAAAAACTTGAACTTTGCAATTACTCCGTAATCTTTTCGTTCTCATCATATTGGTTACTATCCATCGTCTAAACTTCAAGTTAATTTGTACTATAAAAAATTGTTAAAATCATCTGAAATTAAATATCAACAATGGTAAGTCAATTATTAATAACAGCTCACATTTACTTGTATTATTGTAAGTATTTATGCCTTTATCTTTGAACTTAAGACGCCAAGAATTCCAGCAGTAAAGAAAATTGCTTTACTTAACTTCATTAAGGAGAAGAAGGCTGTGTTATTCGGGAACTTTTCAAGTGATTTAGAAAACCGAAATAAGTTGGAAACTTGGAACGATGTCCTTTTGAAAGCGAAGTCATTGGAAATAAGGAGCAACGAAAGAAAGTTTGACTTTGTTCGCGATAAAGTGTTCGGAGTCTGGAAATCTAGGGCGTTGGTAAATTTTTCTAATTTAAAATGCCAACACTTTTATACTTAATCAGAATTTTTCATAATAGAAAAAGAGGGACAACAAACGGAAAACAGGAACTGGGGGAGGAAAAGAGAATGTTCTCGATGATGTGGACCACTTGATACTTCAGATAATTGGGACCGAATCAGTCGTGATTGATGGGTTACCAATAGGAGAAAGTGGTGAACCGGAACTGAATGTGGAAGACGCGCACCACGAGGATGTCTTGGAATCCACGCCAAATTCCGATGGGCCTTCTAGTCGTTTGCCGAAAAGACCACACCGTAGTAAAGCGAAGCTCTCTGCTGACGAAGAAGAGCTAAAAAGAAAAAAGTTGCAAACCACACTAATGGAGGTGACAATTTATAAAACCCGTTTAGAGGCTTATCAGCTAGAGAAAACTTTAAGTCTTCCACTTTCTGAATATACAAAAGTTTTATTTGATGAATAATTGTATCTTTTTAAGTTAGGTTGTATACAAACATTGGGCTATTTAAAGCTACTTATAATTTTTGTAAAAACCTTTTCTTACATGAATAAGTATATTTCTGCTAATATAATTTTTTATCAAACATTTAGCGTCTAAAATATCGAAGGAATTCTTGTTGTCGTTCATTCCCATTTCTTTCGGCTGGAAAATTTTCAACGTTAGGCATGTTGTCATCATTTATTTCGAGATCAACTAAAAAATCATCCCGTGATGCAATGTTGTGGGAGGTGATACACGTCATGACCACTTTTGCTGCAACAATTGGGCGCAATCGCATATAATTAAGACAGGGGAATCGCTCCTTTACAATTCCGTAGGCGCACTCGACTAATCTTCTTGTCCCTTTGTGTGCCCTATTGTACCGAATTGTCTCCGGGATATTGTTCGCCTCTACAATGGGGGGCATTAGCCAACTTTTGAGTGGGTATGCCGAGTCCCCTAGTAAATATTCAATTTAATAAACACGAATATATTTTAGCATGTGCTGAAAACTAACCAAGTATCACAGCCCCAGGGAAAGGACGCCATCCATTTGTAAACCTATCAGTCACGCTAGATCGTCTTAGAACACGAGCATCGTGGACAGAGCCGGGCCAGCGACACGAGACAAAATAAAACGAATGGTCCGGTCCACATATACCCATTAGATTTAGAGAATGGTTTCCGTTTCGATCGACATATTGTTCCTCATTAACGGGAGGCGAATCGATTTTGATTAGGCTCCCATCAATGCATCCACAAACAGACGGAAATCCCCCAATGCGCAAAAATTCTGGCGCAATAGCACTCGTGTCGTCCGGCCATCTTACTACATCCTGTAAAAAATGATTTACTGTCACAGTCACCACTCGATCGACCACACGACAAACGGTAGACTTCGAGACACCGTGCATATCTCCAAGTCCGTGGTAGGGTTCGCCATTTCCCATCCAATGAAGTGCAAGTAGTATTTGTTCTCTGGGATTCAACGACATATTCTTGTCCGATGCTGGGAGAAATGCACCGATTCGTTGCAGGACAAGTTCGACTTCTGACCTGCGTAAGCGGAATTTCTCTTTAAATTGGAAATCGTGGAATGATCCAAAATTGATTCTTGGTTTGTAAATTTTCTGCCCTCGCACGACTCCAACTAGAGATGTGCATAGGGCAGGGTATACCCTAAAAAAACCCTACCCTGCCCTACCCTATAGGGCTTTGGGCGGGCGGGCTTTTATTACCCTGAATTTTTAAGGGTAGGGTAGGGTAGGGCTTTTTAAAGTAGGGCATAGGGACGGGCGGGCTTTTTTGTATGTACACCAATATGCCGTAGGGCAGGGTAGGGCTTTTCTGCTTTACAATAACGCAGTCAACCATCGAGCAGGCCATTAGAAATGAGACGCGGGACAATCTTGTCATCTTTCTGCTGTATTAATTCACTTGTGTTACAAGTACTTAAAATTGATTATACTATGGAGATTGACTACTCCATGTTGACATTTGTTACTGGTGTGGCGACACAAAATTTCGAAAGTTGCAAAAAGACTCAAAATTTCGTGCGTCACATTCCATAGATATAAGAATTGTTGAACCACAGGAGTACGAGAGCCAAGAACTTCATTTTTGTCCGGTGGAAACGTAACGAAATTACCTTTGATTTACAAAATTACTAGACCATTTTTAAAGTTTTAATGTCATTATAATTTTTTTCAATCATCATAATTGCGAACTTAATATATTGATATTATTAGTTGCTTTAAACGATTTACATAAACAATTATGAATAGGGCCTGGGCCCGAAGCCCTTTAGGGTAGGGTAGGGCTTTTATTGATTAAGAAAATCTAGGGTAGGGCTAGGGCGGGCTTTATTTTTCCAGGGTAGGGCAGGCCCGGGTTTCAATTTTACCCTACCCTATAGGGTAGGGTAGGGCAGGGCTGGGCCAAGTAGGGTATAGGGTAGGGCGGATAATGAAAAATGCCTGCCCTGCACATCTCTAACTCCAACCACGTTATCCTCATCATCGCCAATCAAATTCAATAAATCCATCCTAAATTTTATGGAATTTTAATACAATACCAACGAAATATATTATTCATTAAAATTTACTTACTCGTCTTTCACACAAGAAAAGTTGAATTTGCAGATTTAAAATTAGTATATTTGCCACAAGTCATAAATGTTAATAATTTATCAGTGAAACTAACTATGTTGTGCGTAAATCTTCAATTAATTTGATGATTATTATTAAAAATTTTGTTACGTAAAAAATGTACGTATTTACTTGCGAGAATTATTTAGTGCAAAGTGATCGGTCACTTTGCAGAGAATTGTGAAGAGTGCAGAGAAAACTAAAAACAACTATGAAGAGTGAGTGCCCATGAAACAAGGCAGTTCAACTTTCACTCCGCAAACGGAAAAATCTTTCTCCGCACTTTTCACTCCGCACTCCCGAAAGTGATCGCCCTATGAAACGCTCCGCAATCGAAATTTTCAAAAATTTGCAGAGTGCGGTGTGCGGAGTCGCTGGTGAAATGGGGCCCAGAATTGCAAACAGGAATGGCTAAAAATTGGAATAATTTTCATCGTAGCAATTCTTGTAAAAAATATAATCTATGCAACATAAACTAAAATAAGCACATATTTCCTTGTATGATATAAAAAAGTCTAAATTTACACGTTGATAGTCTTCTAAAAATCTACATACAGACTCGTACACTCTTAAAAATCTCGGTATACTTGGGCAGGTATTGATATCTGCACATGTACATATAAAATTTGCAACTGCTTCTTACTAAAACTATACTGGTTCGCAAAAATTTGCCTACACCATACATATACGTAAATACCAGTTTTATTTGTTACGAAAATTTTGAAAAAATTTGTATAATTTTTAAAAATTTACCAGTTCAACTAATCCTCGTTTAGTAAACATGACTCTATGTACAAGGTTTAAAAATCAATCCAACCAGGCGACTACTTCTTGCCAACTAAATGAACATTAAATCTTGCACTGTAAAAATTAAGTCGTCGTAGTTTAAGGTACTTTTGACACGATTACGAATTCAAGTTTTAGAATGGAGAACCGATCAACACAAGGCGTTAGGAATTTGTTGATTGAAATATAAATACTCACGACATCATTACATATTAACGGTGTCTTCTACTCATAACTTACGTTGGGGTATTACGTAGGGGATATGCAATGCATTAAACATTACATGATTACTTTAGTATGACACCCAATGCGAATTGCCAAAATTATATGTATTTTCACACACAAATCTTATACAAACAGAGCTGTCCAGACGAAAGCTGGACGTTGAGGTTGGAAAATGCACCAGCGACTAAATAAATTGTCAGACCCTCAAATAATAGAGCTCGACAGACTAGGCTTAAACACATTTACAAACGAGTTTCATTCATACATTATCTGTCGATGGCATGTTTCTTAAACTTTTTAAATAAATTTAATCAGCAATTGTCCTTAAATTGTTGTAAATAATTCGTGATGCTTTAAACATGTTTTTTGCAAATGCAAAAATGTGGAAGGTTAACAAAAATGCAGAAGGTGAACAAAGATGTGCAAAATTTGTAAAATTTAGCCACTTTAAAAATTCCTCCTTTAGTGGGCATGACTTTGCAAAGCTTAAAAATTAACCTCACCAGGCGACTGTTGCTTGCCAACTGAATCAGTTATAAATATTTAAAGATGAAAATTACGCCGTAGTTTAAGGTACCTTTGACGCGATTAAGAATTCAAGTTTTTGAATGACAAGTAACTAGTCTCATAACTGACTTGGAATCTTCTTAATTAAAAAACAAATCGTTACGACGACGACACAGTTACACATTAATGGTGTCTTCCTTTCGTACTGTGCATACATATATATATATAGTTAAATATATCAAATATGCATGTTAATTAAATACATTAGGGTAACACAATATTTGGCACAGATCTGACATTAATTTTATTTTAGTTTTCAGATAAATACAGCTTGTATGTATGTAGGTTAACTCATATGCGTAGGTTAAGTTTTTTTCACAGATTAGAAAACAATGAGAGTTCATTTTCAAAGAAATTTGTTTATTATGATAGTGGCAAATGATTTAGCATTTTAGATATTCTGTTTGCGTCTGCATTTACGGTGCCATTGATTTCGGAGCTTGAACTGATCGCCGAAGATAACGACGTACCAAATATTTGTCAATAAAGATATGAACTTTGATCCACATAGACATGTTAGAAATCTGGTACAGTCATGCAGGTATCGATTTCTTGGTAGATATTCTACACCACGGAATTAAAATTATACCAGTCCGTACAAATTTGCTACCGATTTGGTAAAACTTTTATACCGAGTTATTACTACACGGTATTATTTGTTAATACCACTTTAGTAGAGTCATACATGAATTGGAACCGCTTGGTATTAGATATTGTAACAATGGATTTTTAGAAGTGTACTTACATACTTACATACGCATTAAGTTACCAGATTCAGATACAATATGGATGTGGCTGTTAATAGATACAGATGTGCATATGTACATTATCAAAATTGATGTCATATATATTTATCTAAATAACGTTGGTCTTGTCTGCAAGACCAACTTTTAGGTTTAATATTAGCCAAGGGACAAACATTATTCGCAATAAAGACGAACAAGTAGCTTACGTAAATGATTAATAATATTTTCTAAGAAACAATTTATTGCTACAGGCATCTTGTCCTGGACAAATGTCTACGTGCGTGTTGTGTATACTACTTGTAATTGAACTTGGTAAATGCCAACTTTAATTTGATATATATCAAAGGAAAACATGTATGTATTATCATTTGATAACTTTTCAAGTTGTAGTTATTTGTACGTATTTGGTAGAAATTAATGAATACATACAATATTTGTTCAATCATTGCAGCCTTCCAAACAGGGATTCGGAAATTCCTACTTAAAACGAAACTTTTTCGAGCTATGTATACGGGGATGTTCTAGCGAGTTCTGTCTAGCAATCAAGCCACCAATTATGAATCATATGGCAATTTGAATCACACGTCTGCGCTGGTTTTCGCCATGTGGTGGAATAAGCGAGGTAAAATTTACGGACATGCAAATTCTGTCCTTCTATCGTTGCCCCAAACCAGGTATTTAACGAATGGATAAGTGCTATTAGATTAATAATTTTTGGTTTGATTTGTTGAAGCTCACAAACTAGACAATCCTGGCATAAGTTTATAGAAGACTACATATTTAGCTCAGATAATCTGAATCAGGGTATGCTACCCCGGGTTTTTGGGGTATTGGGGTATTGCGGGTTTTGGTGGGTTTTCGGGTAGCAAATTTGAGCAATACCCACGGGTAGTCGGGGTAGTCGGGGTTTTCAAATTTTAAAAAAGTATGATAACAGGGCATTGCTAGCAATTCTACATATTAATTACTTATTAAAATATAATTAATAATCAGTTTTATTGCGAAATTACTGAAAAAATGATTTTTTTCAGTCAGTTCTGAACTTAATACATGAGACACTGACTCAGTTTGTCCCCAAAACCACGACTACACCGACTACCCCGACTACCCGCAAAACCCAGGTAAAACCCCGGGGTATGGGTTTTCAATAGCAAAACCCCGGGGTTTTCCTTACCCTGATCTGAATGTAGTGGGAATTATGTGTGTAGCATATAGATGATCCGTTTGAGGTTCATATAACTTACAATGCGATGGTGTGAAGTGTAACCCTCTGATTTCGTTGAAATTTTAAAATTATGTGGTCCATGTCAATACAACCAACGTTTCTCAAGGCAGTTTGTGCGATGGCCAGAATTTGGCAAAATATTTGAATTCAAAGTTGAAAAATGTGCAATTTTTAGCACGGGGAGAGAATGGGAGTTGAGTTTGCTTCCTCCGCCAGGTAAAAATCGCTCGTTTTTTTAACTTTGACCTCAAATATTTTGCCAAATTCTGACCATCGCACAAAATGCCTGCAGAAACGCTGGTTGTATTGACATGGACCACATAATTTCAAAATTTCAACCAAATCGGAGGGTTACACTTCACACCATCGCATTGTTAAATCTCACTATCTCCAACTGCAGTA